CCGATGCAACTCTAAGATCTAATCAACTGTACGTGTGGTCTTGTCGATCTTGTTCAGTCTTTTTACTATCGGAAATGTCCCAAACATAAAATAATGTAAACATACTGGCATATATACCATAGAAAATTATGAAATTAACGGTCGAAAGTGTCAAACATGTAAAACAAAATATCCTCAAATGACATTTTATGAAGAACCAACAGATACATGTTTTAGTTGAAGCACTACACGGTTTGAAAAAACGAACCTTGACATACGTTCTAGGTTTTATTGGTCAATAATGTCATAATAATATAGTTAAAAACTTATGGTACTTCAGGGTCTAGGGTAGTAACATTAAGTGTTTTTCTCGCGAAGATATATCCTTTGTTTCCTTGAATGAATTACCTTGGCCAGTGTGGAAAGTGCAACAATTAAGTTTGTTAAATTTCCCAAGAAAGCTAAGGACATTTTATGGAATGAAGATACTTTGTCTGTACCGTTACCTTAACTGCTACATTTTAATTTATCTTGACAAACTTTGAAGTTTACGGGTGTTGCATTGTGATATCAAACAGTATTGAAAGGCAGGTGAGCGATACATGCCCATTTGATCTCTTGTCCAATAGGCATTAGCATTTCCCTATGCAAGGGTTTGATTGAAAAACAAAATGTTCATACAGTAGACAATTCTGAGGTAAGCCAGACTAAACGATCCGGGGTCACTTTAAGGCACATTTTTTTCAAACGTTCCCATTATAAGTTATTATTCCTGCAGATTTGAATTAAGATTCTAGAAAACATAAGCTCAATGCATACATTTCAAAGGAAAACCTGTCATTTCTGTTATTATATCTTCATAAAATTTCTATATTCAAGCAAATATATTGAACGTTTGTCACCAGATTTGACGCCAGGATTTTCAAATGTGAAAATTGTTGGAACCTTTTTTTTGTTATAAACACATTCAAATTGAGGTATATATAATAAGATATAGAAAATGTTATAAAGAGTAATATCGAGGTTAATTCACTTAAACATATCACGTTTTCTTGTCATAGTCCTGTGTTTCACAAAGGTTGTAACGACTACAAAAATAAGTCTTATGGAAGAAAGCTACAGTAAACGGGTAGAATGATGAAAACAGACTCAGAATTCGTTTTGCATGCAGTAGACATTAAATTAATTTAATCGTTATTTTTGTGTATTATTTTGATGATAAGATCGGCGAAATTTAGATAAAATTGTAAAACAGTTACATGTACTAAATACACGTGTAAGAAGGAAATAAACAATAAATGAATACAGCAGTCTTACAAGACACGTTCATATACTTATGAAATGAAACCAGCAACATGACAAAATTTTATTCAAAATGTCAATCTATTTAGACTTGTTATTATTTATATTCTTATCAATCAGATGAGCAACACATACAGCAAAAAGGTCGATTCGCTGGCTATAAAATATACCTGTCAAATACAACAGATTGGGGAAACACTGATATCTGTCATACCGACACAACCTCTACACAAAGTATGGTGGACCTAACTCCACGAATCACATCATGTACAGGCAACATAGGAACATCATGTATCGCAATTTAAACAATTCACCACCCGGGCTGTTATGCCCTTGCTATTTAGGCTATGTAAGTGGTGATATTTGCTTACCCCAAATAACATGCTTCGTTCATGGTGATTTGTCTGAAATGTGTAGCAAATTTACTCCAATGCATATTGCATGCTGTTTGAGATATCCAGATTAATCCCTATACCCGGCTATTATCAAATATCGAAATATCTAAAATACTTTGCCGCGCCAATTTTTATTTTTATTGTCAGTAAGCTATCAGACTGTTCGTAGTTCACAAAGTTTATGACACGACACATTATCTACTAGCTCAGACGAGTTTGTTATCATGATTCGTCTTTCAAGTCACTTTCCAGAATAAGGATTTGGCCGTTCGAACAACTGACACCCTTGCATTCACCACAACATGGGGTACATTCCAATCCATGCTTTCTACAGCTGCATCGCTTTGAGTCGCAGTTTGTTTTACAATTGCACCGGATAACTTTTAAAAGCAGTTCCGGTGCTGGTGGTAGGTGGGTCCTCATAGGAAGCAGTCTATCATTGGCGATATACCATCCCCATTCACACGGTGACAAATGCTCGGCTGGTCGTATCCACTGCTGTACCTGCAGATAGACTCGTTTGCTGTGATTAGCAGCAGCAGCAGTTGTCGGTGGCAATGTATGCACCTGTACACAAGTTGTGCTCAACATGACTTTGTTGGAGAATTTCTTGTACCGAAGTGTGTCCAGTCCGTCGGTGTGCTCGCCGTTGTATAGTGCTACAATTACTTTTTCCCCTGCTGCTACAACCTCCTCGTGCGACGCCTTCCTACAAAACACACCAGCCAGTTCTTGGAAGTAAGAGTCACCTTACACCTTTTTCAATGGGGCTCCTTTTTTCCGATGCCAAAGATTCGAGACGTGGTGTCACATCCTGTAATGGCATGTACAAATGGCATGAGGGCACACGTGCTGGGTCCAAGGATTTTCTTCGTTTCGTTGATGTCCCATATCTTCATTTTCTTAGTTCCTGATTGTACAGATTGGAAGAAAATGTCATTGGCGTCCAGATCAGAATGGAACAGCAACAACACAAGAAGATCCGTGTCCTCACCTATCAACACTGTAGCGATGTCACGGGCGCTCTCCACAGCTGTTTGCACGATTAATACATCGGCATCGCCTATCGCGTGAACTGTCCGGCATCCACTAAGTTCTAAGTTCGCTCAACATGTTTAGGAAGTTTTGTTTGTTTTCGGCATTGGCAAGGAAGAGTTCTTTCTTTGACCTGAAAGGCATGTTCTCTGTAAAGGCGAACTTTGCACCAATGGCTCCTCCTGTTCGTCGTACGTGGGTTATGTCCTTTGTAGACGGACCAGCCGAGTATCCATCGAACACTACTGTGGGATGATTGTAGTTTCGAATCACGTACTCCACGTACTTCTGACAAATATCGGAGAATATCGACCCTCTTGTCCAAGGAATGCGATGGAGCAGCGACCCGCCGTCAAGTACGAAATGTACTTGTGCACGTGGTGGCGTGGAATGACACTCACCCAATCCCCATATGGCATCAGCGAGTGCTGGTTTCTGTGCAGGTCGTGGAAGTCCAGATGAATCGAACAAAGACGACGGGTAACTGCTCAGTTCATAGCCAAAGATATGGGAGGCGTCCTCATCAAGTCGGTTTGCTGCGGCAATAAGTCTTTGAAAAAGTAGCTGAGGGTCAACGTGGATTGTTTCACCGTCTACTTTAATTGTCGATTTGGTACTAAGGGTAACTGCCTGCTCACTTCTTTTAAAGACATGTTCCGCAACATTCCGACCTTCCATAGATTTCAAGATTTTGTTCCCGACGTCCCGAGCCTTGTCTGCATTTACCTTTACGTTGGCAGTTTCTCCTGTCTCGATATTGCGCAGATGGACATCCTCTTGGAACGGTTTCCGGTCCACAAAGAAGTTGAGGAACGTCATCGTATCCTTCTTATCCCTCTCTTTCCTGGATCGTCCGCTATCCTTGTGTTGCTCGCTGGTGTGGTAGTTTACATCAGTAAATTCCTGTATGGCACTGTTCATGTCCGCACATGATGGCATCGAGAGAAGCCATTGTGCCCGTTGACCCTCGGTCATTCCACGACCTCTTGTCAATCCACCAGATGTTTTCACGCTCCTCATCAGCACTTGCTCGATAATCAAATCAGTGGAAAGTCCAGCCCAGTACCGATCACTTCTGCGTATTACATGGTGTCCTGTTTGGAAGGCCATGTGGATCAGAGGATGTTCACGTTCAAGTGCTTGCATAGTTTGGAGGTACATGTATGCGGACTTGGTGTAGAGATTGTGGCCGGATGCAGCGAAGAAAGGCATCATTTCTTGCACTGTCTGTAGGTGAAGATCCCAATTTCCTGTGCGTTCCGCTTTAATAAATTGTCGAAGGATATCGATCATCTCCATATACTGCATCCACAAAGTAGCTGTGCGAAGAGTTCCCATGGACGCTTTGTAAGAGTCCAGTACTTCTTTAATGCGGTCAAGTACATCATCTTCACATACGGTTCTTGTTGATATCTCTCCGTTCAACAGCATATCGTACATTCTTCCTGCCTCAGCTNCAGTGGAAAGTCCAGCCCAGTACCGATCACTTCTGCGTATTACATGGTGTCCTGTTTGGAAGGCCATGTGGATCAGAGGATGTTCACGTTCAAGTGCTTGCATAGTTTGGAGGTACATGTATGCGGACTTGGTGTAGAGATTGTGACCGGATGCAGCGGAGAAAGGCATCATTTCTTGCACTGTCTGTAGGGGAAGATCCCAATTTCCTGTGCGTTCCGCTTTAATAAATTGTCGAAGGATATCGATCATCTCCATATACTGCATCCACAAAGTAGCTGTGCGAAGAGTTCCCATGGACGCTTTGTAAGAGTCCAGTACTTCTTTAATGCGGTCAAGTACATCATCTTCACATACGGTTCTTGTTGATATCTCTCCGTTCAACAGCATATCGTACCTTCTTCCTGCCTCAGCTAGGTCATCATTCCTTTCATCCTCAAGAGATGAAACTATCGAATCGCCACTAGGCTCCGAATCCATGTCATCATCATTACTCGCTCTGGTAGAATCTGTGGTTTGGGCCTGTTGTATTTCTGCGAAATCCTCTGTATTGTCGTCTGTCTCCATGGAGGTATGGTTATCAATCGTTAAATCTGATACAGGGTCTTCTTCGCATGAGTGATGAGGGAGCGGGCACTGAAACGCGTTGGACAATATGATGGCATTTAATGCAGCATCTATTAGAAAATGTCCCCTGACAGCCCTTGCGACAGCTTTACCACTTAGCATGTGACTCACAGCGTTTGGAGCGTATACAGTTTCCAGCAATAAAACACAATATTGATAATATGTTCTATTATACAGATTGCAGGTAAAAGCAGTTTGACAATATCGGATTGGGGATGGGCCATTTGATCGTATGTAGACCCCCAACCCCCCACTCCCCTATCCCCTTATCTATTTTTTTGGAATGATGGTGCTTGCAAGCTTAAGTGGACAGGGAGATCTTTAGAGCTGGGTAAGTTCGGTCTATAATGGGTTTTTTAAGTAATGTATTCGCACTATTTTTTGGGAAAATGTCCTATCTTCCATAAATAGTAAACAAAAACAAAAAACAAACCATTCCGTATCGTATTATATTGCTTTTGACGGTATCTCAAGCGTCTGTCCAATTAAATACCGTCAGGACCCTTATATATATATAATTCGTGGTGTCGAACTTGCAGCCCCCCCCCATGCTCCCATAAAAAGACTAAGTCAATAAGCGAATAAGCAATGTCATTTGTATGTGTTTAAATGTCACTTATAATTGCAATGACGTGTATACCTGCACAACAAACTGTTAAGTACATTTAATTACCATCTACATTATGTATGTCGTAGACCGGATCAAACCAGTGTGTACGGCAACTATAGGGTTCCATAGTTTTATTTTTCGTACGGAATATACACTGGTCCAGTCATTCAAAAAATAATTTTAATCAAATAACCGTTTCTACACGGTTAAAATTAAATCGAACTCTGGTATAATAATTGTTTTGAACCCTGACATCACTTAGTTTGGTAAAATTTCAGTGTTTATGAACCTGTTGTACGGCACGGTTTTACGATTCGGGACTCGAGCAGACAACACTTTCCAACCAAGTCAAACACGTACACTCAGCATACACAATAACATTTTTATATCATGTTACATGTATATATACAGTGTAAGTGATCATTATATTTCAATGTCTGTCACCACTCACCATATTTACAACAGCTTTCTGTCAAGTCGTCATAAATAAGTCTGCTCACAGAATATAAACAAACGTGCTTGCTGGTAGGATTTATCTCCCTTTGCACCTACGGCTACACATACGCGCAATATATTATCAACATATTTTTGCACACTTTAATCGGAAAATCCAATATGTTCCCCTATTTAGATTTTTCTAGACTTTTCGTATGTTTTAATTACATATATTCTGAGTGCAATCCAACAAGAATGGTCTTTGTTGGAATTAGGTGCGGGTCAAACCGTAGGCTGACTGGTCTATAAAGGCATACAAATGATATTATGGTTGCAGCTTTGAATTCAGATAATAGAAATCATTAGCTCCATGCATACATTTCAGGGGAAACACTCACATCTCTGACACACTCATACGACGTAAGGGGTAATATCGCGGATTATTCAGAAGAAGAAAAAACGTCACGTATCTGTTGTTAGGATCCCGTGTTTTACAAAGGTTGAAAAATCGACAGGAATCACGGTCAGCATTGGTGTTCCTAGCTGTATATATTAAAATTTATTTAACCGTTTATTTTTTGTCTGTAATTGTTCACAGCTAAATTCAGCGAACAAATAGATAACATTGTAAACCAGTTATGGAGTATAAGAAAGAAATGATTAAAAAATGGCTAATACTGTCTGACAGGATACATATTATATATTAATGGAATGAAAGCAGAAACGAAACAAATTTGTATTCCAAATATCAATACACTTAAACTTGTGATTATTAACATTTGTATTCATTCAGATGAGGGATCATTAGTGCAAAAAGGTCGATTCGCTGGTCATCAAATATACCTGTCAGATACTACAACAGGTTGGAGAAACAGTGGCAGCTGTTCTACAGACACAACTTCTACACAAAGTATGGTGGACCTAACTCCACGAATTACATCATGTACAGGCAACACCCGATACCTGACAATTTACGTCGACCGTCAAACACAAACTTACCCTTGGTACTCTACACAAGCTATACTGGAGCTCTGTGAAGTACAAGTTTATGGTGAGTGTATTCGTGCAGTAGTGTGATGTGAACCATTGATACGTCATATGATATATATAGTCTCCATTTTGTTGTGTTGTATGTGTATGTCATTCGTGCCCTGAAACCTTAAATTAACGAACTAAAGATTGTGTATGAGACAAATAAACTAAACTGACAAGAATGAAACATAAGAATAGTATTTGTCGCAATTTGAACAATTCACCACCCGGGCTTTTATGCTCCTGCTATTTAGGCTATGTAAGTGGTAATTTTTGCTTAACACAATTAACATGCTTCGTTCCTGTTAATTTATCTGGAATGTGTAGCAAATTTACTCCAATTCATACTGCATGTTGTTTGAGATATCCAGATTAACCCCTATACCCGGCTATTATCAAATATCGAAATATCTAAAATACTTTGCCGCGCTATGTAACGTACAATGTACAATGTACAACGCGTCAAGGTTGTGGAAATCTGCTCGTTTAGATAATAGCTTTAATATTATTGAAATAAACAACATGATGACAAAGATTGCAAGAAAATCATAAAACCACAACCTATCAATGGTTTGGATCACTATGTTATGCAAAGGGAGACAAATCTTACAAAAAAAAAAAATCGAAAATATTAGAGTAGAATCAAAAGAATTATTTTTTTCACACGTATACCTATTGAACATCACGAACCATGTAAATTAAAAAAAAAACTTGACTGATATTCATATTTTATTTGTTTTTTTTCAATAAATGATTCCTATCGTAGTAAGATCCTTTTATTTTTCCATCCGGGCCAACAAATGTGAATTATATATGATGGAAAAACAGGTTTCATTCTTGTTGTAAAAGCAATAGTATAAAAATCTATTATTTTTCTTTCTTATTTTAATATATATGTGTTCTGTGCATGTAATCCTAAACTGTCAACATATAATTAGCACCTGCTGCAGAACTAGTACTCATTTTAAAGGCCGGTCAAAATACTCTTTTTTCAGTAGCCACTTGTATAATGCATGACACCTAATATAGAGACAAACTAATATAAAATTACTTTAGACATTGAAATTGTATAATTGATTTTAATTTATTTGAAGCGCATATGATCAGGTAATTTTCTGTTACTTTATATAAGATGTTCAAGTTTTTTTTTACTTTTTGTTACACAAATACACAATTAATGGACTTTATTCGTGGCTTGTTTTGTTGCAAATACTTTTGGTGAGAGATCATAGCCTTAATCAATTCAATCAAAAAAAATAATAGCTGCTTTGTATTGATGTTCATATTTCAATGTACCATACTTCTGTATTTAGCGCAAAAATGATAAAGTTCGATTAAGAAGGAAAGGATATTTGAACATATTGCATCATAAGAGATACAAATTCCAGGTTGTCCAGTAGGAAAATATGGTAACAGTAACTGTGGTAGCAACTGTGATACAACATGTGTTAATAGCCTGTGTCATCCTAACAGCGGCCAGTGTACATGTAGGTAAATACATTTTAAGTAGATTTTTCAATTGTAATAGACGAATGTTCATATCGATATATATCAAACAAATGTGAAAATTGACAAAACTCCAGGAATTATACAAAAATGTGTTATTCACAAAAGAAGACATTGCATTTTGCACAAATATTGCCATTGTTTCAGATATTCAGTGTTACTAGGCACCTGAAGAGCAAATACATTGAACAGTTTGTCATTTACACATTTATTTATATATCATTAGAATATAAGATAATTTCATTCGTTGACATACAAATTACATCACGAATGTTTTCCATTAAGTTGTTTACTATTGGTTTCATTATCTCATTATTGTTTTCTTGATTTCAACGAAGTGCCATTGTCTATAATACTAGTATACTAACTGTTAGATTACTATTAAATTCTGTACTATTTTATCACATTGATAATTGTAGTTTAATACTTTGAATCAGCAGTGATTACGTAATAACACACTCATTATTATACACAGTAACGACTTATTACTTTTAGACTGTGCGCCGGGATTTTATAAGTCCGGGCTTGTTTGTACAGCATGTCCGACAAATTGTTTGAATGGCGTGTGCAATGTGGAGTCCGGTGTTTGCTCAGGTTAGTAAAACGTCATTCTCTCATTCCATGTGTAAGATAGAGCTGTCAAGGGTAAGAAAGGGGTGTGGGAAATTTCTATCTTACATCCCATTTCATGTGACGTGACGTCACAATGGCTACACAATGACGTGACGTCACGAGTTTGGAAATATCCGATGCTGCAATGTGGAAAAGGCGACGTGATTAAATTTAAACCTTTTACGATATATTGACCGTATACCTTAGAAAGATGTGATCATTTATTCTGCGCAAACTTTGTTTGGAATTATGGAGTATTCTAAATCTGGCTGACAGATTCGTTTTCGTATAAAAAGGTCATATGAAAAATTGATATTTTCAAAATGGTTGCCAGTCCAAACTCATTTTCGTGGTTTCTGAGCTTATATGACTCTTTTATGCCCAAGGGTGTAGGATAGGGAAATTCCACCCTTGGGATTTATAAATTTGGCAAAACCCATCGGGTGGAATTTCCCTATATTACATCCCTGGGCATGTAAGAGTCTTATAAAATACCTATATCTATGATTAAAACATACAATATTGTTTTTTTGGTGAGTTTATGATAAACATGCAGTGATGTGTAGATGAACCAGGAATAAAGTTACAGTATTGTTTTACTCTTGCTGGCCTAAACTGATTTTTGTATTGCTTTCCTAGTAGTCTCAATTTCAGCCATTATTGTGGCTAACATTATAGTAATCGGACATATGTTGTCATCTTATTAACTGTGTGTTGTAGTTTATACATATATAAGTGAAAAATAAATCGAAATTGTATTATTGAATTTTGATATAGAACTATTTTGACATCGTGTCTCTAATGGCGATCGATGTGATCGATATTGGCCAGCAAAGTTCACCGTATACAGAATATAATAGAGTATGATGTTTCAAAGGTATAACTCATACACTTTATATTCCAATCAGTCAATTTTGATTTTGTTACAGCAACTTACAGATGAAAAATGTTACGTTTGATACAGATGAACCACTCTACATTTACTATAACGGTGTTTGCGGCTTTAGAGGAAAAAATTCATAATGCCCGTGCGCTACCAAAGCTGTGTCAATCACATTGATTGTTAATGCTATTTCAGCGGAGTTCAATGAAATAAACATTGTCTTATATCTATACAAATACATGTACTTTGTCACCCTTTTAGTACTAATTTGATAATATTGCACATTTGGTAATATATTTGTAATATCACCTTTTTCATTAAGGCCTTAATGAAATATGGTCTTGGATTTAATTTGACTTCACTTGTTTGATTTAAAAGTACCTGATGTGCTTTATAATGTTTTGTCGAAACACCATCCAATAATTGACTGTACCGTGTGTATTCAGCTTTTGTCAATTCGATCGACATTTATGATCAATAATGTCCGGAAAACTGTCAGGGGGAAATGTATGATCAAAGAAACAGTTTCTGTGAAGGAACGTGTACGTAGGCAATGGTACGATTGATCAAATACATATTTAAATAGGACTGCAGGAGCTATTCTGGTTCAGATAAAAGTTCTCCTGACACAAAAAGCATTTTCAATGACATGGTTAGTTTGAAAGTCTACTTTCATATAGCCAAATATGTAGTTGTTTGCATCCTCATAATATTGATATCACGGAATACGGTAGTGCCGATTGAAACTAAAAACGGATATGAATGACGGTTTAGTTGTGAATCTGATCCCCTTCCATTCTCTTATCATCACAGACAAAACCTTTCCTTAGCGTAATTGCATATGTATTCAAAGCATACTGCACCACTTACGTAAAAGGAAATCCATCCTTCCGCATTTTGTTTTGTTTATGCTGCTCTTCAAACGTGAATGTTTGTGACTAAAGGTACATCGCTTTATGTTGCTAACCTTTATCAGTTTAAATGTTTGTATTTCATTCTAGAACGAAAATAAGCATTTGTACTGGGGATTAATTAAAAGCAATTATGTGATGCTTGTTTGGTTTAAACGAGTTCAAACGTGTTCTCTCGAAAACGTATTTTGACATCCATTAATGCAACCATTCACACAAGGATACGATGGTTTCCTTATTCTAGGAATTATGAAGTGAAAAGCTATTTTGTATACTCTTGTATGTTGTGATTTGCGGACATGTTATTGTTTTTCGTTTCCATTATGTTTTCTTTGATGTATTTGTTAAGAATTACTCAAAATTCAACCAAATTGATTTGAAACATTAAACCATTGCTACATGTGTATTTCGGTAGAGTAAACAAAACACTTATTGCATATTTAATATGCCATGGCCTTCTGCTTTGATGATACTATCCATAACGGAAAAAATGTTTATCCGATATTAATTTCATACCTTATCAGATTGTGAAAACAGTTTCTTCGGACCTTTTTGTGTTGCCTGTTCCCCGAACTGTGCCGATCCTATTTGCGACAAAATATCAGGAAATTGTGATCGTAAGTTCTTCTATTAACAAAAGGAGCAGGGAGTGTTGATACAAGTACTATTATTTCCAACTCATTTGCTTTAAGTAGCTTTAACGACTTTGTTAAGTAATTATAATTATTAGCGTTGGTACCCATTGGTATTTTTTTATATGTTTTCAATACATATTTTAGAATATAATGCAGGTCTTCACAGCAATAAAGACAAATATAGGTATGTTTTGGGGTATGTATTTCTTTACTTTAACGGAGAGGTAATGTTTTAATTGTTTTAATTGTGTCACTCGTTTTGACTTATTGTTTTGCCAGCACCTCCAGGTAAAGTTTTGATACAAATAATTGAAATTCACCGTAAAGTGAACGGAAATTTGGATCCTGAGGAATTAAACATCTTTAAAAAGGCGATTTATGCCTTCTGCGACAATGTATTTTTTTCTATTCATGTTCTTTAATCATATATTTCCCAGCAAAAATTAAAGTCTCCAAGGTTGATTGATTGATAGGTTTTACGTCCGCGTATTTCGGTTATCCAGCAGACTTCTCCACGGTTTAAGTCCCTTCGTATTTATTGTGTCATTGCATAGGAAGATATCCGTTAATCATTCAGTTCACTGCGATATGCATACATGTTTGTACTACCATGTCATACATACTATTATTAAATACAAAATAACGTGTTATACATACTGACGTGTCGTAAATACTGGATATCGCTTACACATGTTTCCTTTTATTAGTGGTAAGAAAGAAAACACTTCAAAACGTATCCTTTTGGTGTAATAAACAAATTTGATAGATTATTAATAGCCTATAGAATTGTTCATGTATTGGTGTAGAATATTTTAATGGCTTCTGCGGAATACAATGCACAAATGAAAATAACTTCAATTTCGACCAACTTGTGATTAGTATAAGTAGGAAAACGTGATTTATAATTGTTGTAATATAAATTAAGTGCATTCATTTGTCAATGATTTATATTATATATATATATTATGAGATTAGAAAATTCTTTTCCGATTTCAAGTTAATCAGGTGTCGTGGTATCCATCTTTCCTGGTTGTCTTAAAAAGACAAAATTAGTAATATTTAGTTCTTTGAAAGAAAGATAAAATTTGATTTAAATGAATTCCAAACAATTGATTAAATTTACAGACTGTCTTGTTGGATTCTATGGCAATATGTGTATTCAGACCTGTCCAGCCAACTGTAAAAACAACACATGTTCCCAGGACAACGGTAACTGTACTACAGGTATATCATCATATTGATCGTTAAATATTTAAATACTGAACAAGTCTAAGACTTTCATATAATTTGCGTACATGTATACTTATTCCCATTCACATTACGGGTGATATACTATTTATCAATCTGCTTGTTCCTTATGTTCTTAATTTTTCAGCTTGTCTAACTTATCAGCTAAATTGATAATATCGGGGTTTTTTAATCTTAGCAACTGTGAACTCGTGTTTAAATCAAGGTTAAACAGTATGTCAAACTCAAATCTTACCTTTGCACTTAAATAATAATGATTTGTTTGTTTGTTTATGTTTAACGGCCCATCGACGGCTGTGGTCATTTAGGGCCATGGTGATTTTTTTTGATTTTTTTTTTGATTTTTTTTTAACAAACATGTGAGTAGCGAAGATAATAATAATAAAAGAGATAACGAATAGATGATATGGAATATGTGATATATCTAACGTCAAAAAGGGTAAGGTGGGTTAAAAGACATCAGAGTCTATAGAATAGACCGATGTCTTTCAAATAGTTAAATCATGCCTTCGAGTCCACGGAACTGAAAAGAGTTTTCATATCTGGGACTCGAAAGTAGTTATCACGAATGTGTTTAAAATCGGAACATTCTATTAAAAAATGTTCCACTGTAAATGGAGTGTCACATGCGTGGCATGAAGGTAGATCTTCTCGTTTTAAAAGGTACGAATGAGTAGGATATGTATGCCCAGTACGGAGCCGAGCGAGGACAACTTCCTCTGTACGATCTTTCCGACTGGGAATAGAATATTTTAAGTTTCGGTTGTACCTTAAAAAGTGTGTTGGTGGTCTCTCGAGACCAGCGTTGCTGCCATTCATTTTGAATGGCTGTACGAATAGTAGGTTTAAAATCTGTGTATGGTAGTTTGATATTTGTTTGTTGGAGATTTAATGGATTTTTTGCTTCCATGTCAACACATTCGTTGCCTTTAATTCCGACATGCTCGGAATCCATAGTAAAGTTATTTGAGGCTTTTTTAAGAAACGAGATATTCGAAGAACAAGGTTTTGTACGAATGTGTTTCTAGGATCTCGTAACTGTAAAATATGTAGGACAGATAAAGAGTCTGAACATATGATTGCCTTTTTAATGCGGTATTCATAATAATAATGACATCAGATGTATCAATAAGTAATCCCAGTAACGTACGCTTTCTACAACTATTCTGTTTGTTTGCTTTGGGGGTATTTTTTTAAGAACCAAAAAACACTAATACATGTATCTTATATCATGACTAAAGAGTGTAATCGTCTATCGCATATGCATAAATCTTTACATGTACATAAACATTCAGCATAGAGCTTTGTGAAATATTTTGTACTTGTTTATTTTATTTTTCCTAACACATAGTTGATACTTTCAGGATGTGATTCAGGATACCATGGCAACATGTGTCAACAACCGTGTCCAACAAATTGCAAAGACAGAATTTGCAGGCAGGATACTGGTAACTGTGAAGGTGAATATAGGTTTCATAAACGTGTAACTGTATTTGATAAGCGCCAAATCTAAAATGGTGGGTGGTCGAAAAATAAGGCAGGGATGTGTCACCACCTACCTTTATGATCAATATAAACACAACCTTTGTAAGTTATCCTTCATCACTGTTAAACAGGTTTCCCTTGATTTTCGGCCAACACTTAGCCTGACTTGAGACTTGAAGACGCTGACCCGGTGTTTCATTTGATATTAGGCTCCTCCGATCACACAGTTAGAATTGCTGACCTGCAAAGTCTGGTTTGGCTCGGGTGGTACAGTGAATAGAGCTCTTGCCTTTCACTTAGGCGGGGCTCGATACCTCGATCGGACATGAACGGATATGAGGGTCACCTGCCCGACCACATGGGTTTTCTCTGGGTACTCCGGTTTCCTCCCACACTAAGACCCCCGCGCGCTAACATCAAGGCCAACAAGAGTGATTTGTATAACTTGAAATAACTTGTTTCATAATTATTGTAAACTAAATAAACTTTATCTATGTACATTGTATATATATATTTATCTGATTTTATCGCGGACTGATCATCATTAAGCGAACCAGGCTTTGACCATATAGGTAATCTGTAATTTTTCTTATGGAAGTTTGTAATCAATGTTTCATTCGTCAAATCAGGAAAAGTTACATTTTCACTAAAATATCGCTTTTTTATAGAATACATATTTTTCAATATTTTACTTTTAAAAAGGTAATAAATATAGATATTATATATTATCTCTTATTTTCAACTAACCTTTTCATAATAACAAAAATAGTTCATTGATGTTTTTCGCAACTTCAAACGAACAACATACACAGACCAAGTTATGTATGATGTTTTTTTAGCTTGTGTCAATGGGTACCATGGCAGCCAGTGTGACCAATCGTGTTCAGACAACTGTCAAGACAAACTTTGTGACCAATATAGCAGTGTGTGTGCAGGTATAACATCGATGCTATACTTTCTTTTAGCAATATTTCGATTTAACAAAAAAAGGGGAATTGAAGGAAAATGTTGGTGGACTAAACTCTTTAAATCCTATCTACCATATCATGATTTCTTATATTTCTATATTATCTCTCCTTTAAGATTAACAGAACATGATAGTGTCAATTTAAATATACATGTATAACTAAACTAAATTATAAACTTTAAAAAGTAATTCTGCTGAAATAAGTAATACACCATTACATTATAAAACAATAAACATACTGTCATTGAGAAAATAGACAATTTGTACTCTCGATGTAAATGAATAAATACTTGGTTGTAGTATTTTGTGGAAAATGAATATTAAGTCGAAAGATTAGTTCATGCTAGCATGTCGGATGTTAGTTTAATATGACAGCACATTTGTTAACATACTGTGAGCATTTCCCCTTCAATAAGCTTTACTTATATTTTAACTAATACAGGATCTCAAATCGAACTGGATTTTCACGTATCTTTTTACGTTAATATTGATTTAAATACACCACGTCAAATTATTTGTCACGTTTCTTAAGCTTGCACTTATGGGTACTATGGCGATCAATTATGTGCAAATAACTGCAAAAACAAAATATGTGGTAAAGAAAACGGAATGTGTACATGTACTCAGTAAATGTTATCATTTGTTTTCATTTTTACCAAAAGTGTTAATATAATTAGGTAGCATTACCTTTAAACTATTAAGTCGTTTAATGTCACAGTAAGTTTATATTTCCGTTGCTAAATGGCTATAAGATTCTTTTTACTACGTATCATTATCATATCAAAGTTTTACAGAAAAAAATTGTGCCAAATGATCATAATATATCGTAAATAAGACAATGTATTCCGTAATTACTATTTACTTTCATGTAATTAAAATAAATTGCTTTGCATATATCTCAATTGAAACAATGGCTTATTCGATCAATATCTGCCTCAATAGACAATTTTAATCCAAAATTGTACTCTTATGTATGCAGTTTTCTCTTTATGATACCTTTATACATTTTATCTGTATAAAAGCTTCATTGGCTGTTGAATATCATTACATAGATAATTAAAAGGTAAGAATAATTACCAAAACCGAAATTTCGTTATTTGGACACCATTTTCAAAAGTCTATTTTATCAAGACGAATGCTATTTTGGAGAGAAAATTTAATCAGAGCCCCTTTTGAATTCAAGTTTTAAAACTATGAATATTTTTTTGCTGATATGGATTTTTTCCCCACAATTTTAGCCAAAATACCAAAGTGTTCCTTTCAGGGTACAGTTACACCTGTTCAAGGGCCCCCGTGACCCTGAAAGTGTTTTGCGTTATATTGATGGAAAAACACGCCGGAAATACCAACTTGTAATAGCATTGAAAGTTGACGTATCTATTTATAAAAAATAAACGAGCATTCTTGGAAATCATAATATGGTATGGAGTAGATTGATATTTATCTAAAAAGTGTCCCGTTGGATATCGTGACGTTAGCTGGTGGGTTGTGTTTTATTTTATTTTATCTTTTTACGCTGAATAGTTTAAAGATGCTGTTCTCGGATAGCTATTTAATTCGTGACTTGTTTACATTCTCTTCTAATTTTCCGTGGTTTTAGAAAAGGATTTTAGATTTGATCCTTAGAAATAATCGAAAATGTTTTGATTTATATTGAATAATTCTTAAATGATTCTATTATAGCGATCGTTATGATAAATCGTGTCAACCAAATAGTACAAAGTGAATAGGTCCCAAACACTAGTATCCGGGCCAGGTTTCAAAACGGGGAGTAACGGGACACTTGTGGAAAAACAGCCCAAAAAACGATCATGTAATGCAAAAGAAAGTACTTTTATGTATGCGGTTTTCACTTCGTGATACTCTTATGACATGTTTACTGTAAAAAAGATGAATTGGCTGTTGATTATCATTACATTAACAATTAAAGGTAAAAATAATTACCAAAACCGAAATGTCGTGATTTAGATGTCGTGCGACGCTTTTATTTGGATATCGACTAATGCCAGTTTGGAGAGAAACTTTAACCAGTGATCCTTATTACTCTTACATATTTGAACTATGTATCATTTTCTGCTGATATTGATTGTTTATTTCCCAATTTTAGTCAAAGTACCAAGTGTCCCTTTCAGGGTTTAGTTACACTTGTTCAAGGGTCTACGTGACCCTGAGGGTATGTCGCGCCGGAAATACCAACTTGTAAAAGAAGTAAAAAGTAAACGGTATCTATTGATGAAAATCGAACGAACATATTAGAATATGATGCTTTGGGAAGAAGTAAATTAATATTTATCTAACAAGTGTCCCCTTTGGTGTTTGACGTTAGCTGGTGTTTTTTCTTTACCTTTAATGCAGAAAGGTTTAAAGATGCTGATCTTCTAATAATTTCGTGGTTTTTATAACACGGTTTAAGATTTGATCCATATAAAAAAGGGGTTTTGATTGATATTTAATTATTCTTAAAATGTTCTATAAAAGCGATCGTTATGATCAATCGTGCCACCCAAATAGTATAGAGCGAATAGGTAAATAAAGTATGCTGAGGTTAAAATAACCTTAACATTTTAAATTTTCATTTCCAATATAAATATTCTGATTAAGCTGTATTTGTTGAAGATAGGAAAAACTTCTTATGTTGATACTATAATACAGATGTACGTTTACAAATGTATATTCCCTATACATAACATATTCAAATAATATTCTAACATTTTACTTTAACCAAGTTATGTATGCTGTTTTTCAGCTTGTGTCGATGGGTACCATGGCAGCCAGTGTGGCCAATCATGCCCAGACAACTGTCAAGACAAGACATGTGACCAAAATAGCAGTGTGTGTAAAGGTACGTCAACAATGCTACATGTATATTTTCTTTTAGCAATATTTTGATTCAACCAAAATTTGAATTTGAAGGAAGGTTAGGATGAACTTAACTTATTTAAGTCCTATCTACAATATCATAATTTGTTTGCTTTTTTATCATATGTTATCTCTCATTTTAGATTAACGGAAAATGGTAGTGTCAGTTTAGATATATAATAAACTAAATTTTAAACTATATAAAAAGAAACTATGCTGAAATTACCAATACACCATTACATTATAAACAATAAACTTACTGTAATTGAGAAAAATAAACATCCTGTACTCTTTATGTAACTGAATAAATATTTAGCTTTATATATTTGTTAACATACTGTGTGCATTTACCCTTCAACAAGCTTTAATTATATTGTAACTAATATAGGATCTCAAATCGTGCGTTAACCACGGGAAAGAATATGAAGGCAAATGTAGCACTTGTCTTGAATCATGTCGTATATATTGTAGACTGTATTTATAACCGTATTTTAATAGCAATCACATATGTGTGTCCTGCGTTAGCGTTCACGACAGAAGGAGGGAGACCCTGCTCTTCCATTGTTAAGTTCCCAAAGCTTGCCGTTACTTTGAAAATCATAATTCTGAGTAGTTACACGGAATATACACACTTTATTCATCATTTAATTAAAACTAGCCTTCACGCACTTTCTTTTGAAATGTGAATCACAAAAGAGTTTTGTACACCTCCCCTTTTGCTTCCAATTTGTTATCACCATTTTTTCTAGCATCATCTATGATTCCAAAAAAGACGAAACAACTCTAAATTTTGCATACTATATATCTTACCGAATTTCTTGTTTTTTTTTACGTTCCTTTTACAATATCATGAGTTGGTTTGATTGCTCTTCTCATATTGGTACCGATATATGTTTTTAATATCTATTATTTTAGTTTGACAGAAAAATCATTATTTCATTTTAGGTTTTCAGAAACCCGCTTTACAATTGAATACAAAATGTCATAATGACCACAAAGTATGATAATGTATGTCGTAATTAGTATCTAGCGTTCTCGTTATTAAAAATAACGGTTAGACATAAATCACTATCAGACAAAGATTAATCAACATCCACCTCAGTAGCATATACTATACTATAATACTGAATATTGTTCTCTCACGAAATCATGAAATAGGACTCATAACAATTAATGCTCACATTGTTTACGATATGTGTCTTATACATAATCGAAAATGTATTTTTTTAATTTTGATCTTACTTATTCTCACTCGTTTCTATAATGGCAATCATTATAATCAATGGTGACAAGCAAATTATTCAAAACAAAAAGGTAAATAGAGTATGCTGAGATTATACTTCCTAAACTTTACGTTTAAAATATTCGTTTCTAGTATATATATATATACTGATTTAGTTGTGGATTATTATGAATATGGAATATACCCCCAGCCCTTTGATGGTACATGTAATATATGTGCACATTAGCCAATATGTTTTGTATATATTCTCAATAAAATAGTGTATATAATCTTTTATCTAAACTAGGTTTTCCAAATCTGTATGAACTTTTCTAGCTTGCGTCGATGGGTACCATGACAGCCAGTGTGACCAATCATGTCCAGACAACTGTCAAGACAAGATATGTGACCAATATAGCAGTGTGTGTACAGGTAAGTTATCAATGTAATGATTTGTTTTATCAACTTAAAGATTAAACTTTATATGGAGATAATAAGAAATATGTAGCAGTGACTTGAGATATTTAAGTTATATTTCAATATATCAATTTTGAGTTTATATTGTTCTATTGGTACTTATCTAATTTTCACATGATGGCTTCGCTACACACCTCTTATCCGACAAGATTATAATTTGTTCAGGGATAACGGAAGCTTACCCCTGGTACTAATTTTTTCCTCGTGAATGCATAAAACTGGTCTTAAAACATTCTTATGTGACCTAACATCATCATGATGTGACACAGTCTGCAACCGGGTTTGAGATAAAATACCATGTAAGATAAGTTTTATAATTATATATAAGGTTTATTTACTTTACAACAATTACGAAATCAGTTATTTCAATTCTATCTATCTTGTTTGCCCGGATGTTAGCGCTCGGGGGCTCTTAAATGTATAAAGTTAAGTATTTCCCCTAGAGAGGATACACATCTGGCATTACGTGTAAATTGGATAATTAACCTTTATGTACATATGTACGTATTGTCAAGTAAACGCAAAAGTTAATATTATCTAAATTTTAATATTTCTACAGTGGTTTAAGAAAAGATATATAGTCCTTGTTTGTTTATCATTTTCAAGATATACTCTATCAATACATCATGTTTACTTTTAATTAGGCTGTGAAGACCGTTTCTTCGGTCCTCTTTGTGTCGCCTGCTCCCCGAACTGTGTCGATCCGGTCTGCGACAAATCGTCCGGAAAATGTAGTCGTAAGTAATCTAACATTAAAAAGGGGATATACTTTTTTGTTCCATTTACTATCAAATATGTATTTTCCAATTTTTTGCTAGCGCTTATTACTTCTAGACTGTTCCGATAATTAGTTTAATTAGTAAACAAGATGATAGATAGAGAGAAAGTGATACAACACTTTAAAGTAGGAGCTAGGACAACACCCATTTTCTACATGAGTGTCCCACAAGGAATATCCCTATTTTATAAATAACTATGTGGAAGTAATTATAATCGTGCAGATATATTTTCACTAGCGCAACTTATAAATGCTTCTTTGAACGACTCTGAGAGGTCCAGTTTTCTCATTGCATAAACGCTGACTATGAAAACGTATTTGGAAAAAGCAGTCGTACATGTATGTTTTGATACCTATAGCTTTTGTTCTGTATTCTTGCAATCAATTGTGATCATATAATTGACTGCAGAGTTTTGTCAAAAGAAGGTTATGTTCTTTTTGCTTCCTTTGATGTTATAAGTAAGTGTAAATACGAAATAAAATAAAAATAATGAGAGATAAATCAATCAATTGATGTGTTAAAATAAAACATACCGAGAAATATATACCACAATACTTTAGCTTACACTCTATCAGAAATGTACCAGTAATGCTACATTTTGAAGAGAGAGAAAATCAGAAAAGGTCAAAACACAGGTCTTAACAAAACCTGTTCACGTATTCGAATCCTTGAGTTGAATCGTGACATAAAGTTTCACACTAAATACCAATCAATGGTACCACACTTGCTCACATAAACTTGAAACGAAAGCACTACATTGAAATTTAGTTATGATTAAGATAATTCCAAAGGGAATTTGTATTAACATGTATACATCCTGTTTGGCGACAAAGTCAACGCAGGGAATCTACTATTTATTTTGCAAAATTGTGTAAGCCGGACAGAACAAGAAATAAACAATAAAGAACTGACGCTTACCAGATATTCGCTGTATATTTACCGTTTTATGTATTGGGTGGGTTTCATTATATGTTCGATATGATGAACTTCATTATATACTTGATATGATGAACAATGACTTAAGTGAGAACACAACATAACTTGTGAAACAAGTTAACATAACTATGCCTGTGCATCAAACAATAATACGCTTAAGTAATTCAGATATATGTAAACAAAGCAAAATGACGTTAGTGCTTTTCAGAAAAAAATGTTTTTGAGTTTATAACTAGTTGCTCCATATGTATTTTCTTAAGGCATTTCGCTTCAGTTATCGGTATTAACACAATTAGAATGATTAAGTTTTAGATCAGGAGTAACTAGTATACTTATTTGAAAGTAATTTTTGCCAATATAATACTTCAGAATGCCTAGCCGGATATCACGGTAGTACCTGTACTCAGACGTGTCCTACCAATTGTAAAGACAACATATGTATCCAGGTTAACAGGTTTTGTACAGGTAATAATTATATTGATCAAATTTTATAACTTCATGATTGGCATTTAGCTACATTTTTATATCAAATTTATACAAGCATCCAATGATTCATTTGTCATGCATTTGAAAATATGATTAGAAATAAGAAATATGTTGAATATTCATTTTCAAAATTTTTGAAGTAGATTTTTTTTATATAAGATGATGACAGAAGAACTGGAGAAACAAATGAACATACAAATGATGCAAGTTAAGCAAACATTTTAATTTGGTTTTTACATTTTGGTTACAATAACATGCTAAGGTAAACTGATTCATTCGATTATGTTTTAAGTTTTAATATGCTTATTTAAAAACAAACAAGCATGTGTTGACAAAAGCTATCCTTTATTGAATAATTTCAGAATGTGTTCCGGGGTTATATGGGAACACCTGCGACCAGACGTGTTCCGATAACTGTAAAGACAACTTGTGTATTCAGGGAAACGGGTTCTTTACACGTAAGCTAGATTATGATTCATGCTATCTAAAATATCATTGTCAAATGTCCTCTGAACGAATATATGGTTACAAATGTTTGATTTAAGGGAAGTAAGAAAAGAAATTATTTGTGTAATTGACCGTAAGGCGTGTGCATTATTATGCTATTTGCAGTTGTCAAGATAAACAAACCTAGCTAACCAGACCAAATCATAAAGATGTGATTTACAAAAACATAAAAACTAAATTTGGCAATACCAATTATGTCCGTGGTAATTCATTCCCGAACTCATAGGTAAGATATTGATCATATCGGTGCCATTTTCAGGATGTGAACAAGGATTTCACGGAGGTACGTGCCAACAAAGATGTCCTATCGCATGTTAAGACAATACATGTAGTCAGTTCAGTGGACAATGTGAATGTATTTTATATGAAAGTATATTGTCCATTAACATGTTACAGCTTAAGATGGATTTAAAAAGAGACACAGTAGTTAACATATCATTTTAGTTATTCATTAAAATTAGTTTATGATTGCTCCGTGACTAAGAGGATTTCACTAACAGATATATTTGTACATCTTCGTGTAATTATGACAGTAATTATCAAGTGTCTTTCAAATTTTAGGATACACATACTTTATTTTCACGATCGTTCTCTTTCGTGGTAAAAGTAGCACTGAGTAACAGTCCGACATTCTCTGCTTATATAAAAGTTCAAGGCTGTTAATGTTATGCCTTTAATTCTGAATCAAAAATCACTTAAAGCGATGATTAATCCTGTTTTCCGTGTCAAATCTGAATACCTTATGTCTGCCACAGAACCCCATATCGCTGGCAGAGAAAGAGTCTTCTTCGACCAAATGCCATGTTAGAAATGTTGTAGATGTTAGTTTTATGAAATATATGGTTTAGGTTATTATTCCTTCCACGAAACCTGGTTTCGCCAACTGTTTGGAACCCCTTTATTCCATTGTTAATGCAGACTTTACAAATACGTATGTGGATGTTGGAACACCTTTATTCCATGGGAAAAGTACACTTTAAAAATAAGAATGCGAATGTTTGAACACTTTTATTCTATTAAAAATACGCACTTTGTTATTAAACCAATGTTTATGATTTCAATGGATTTCTTTGTTTCAGAATGTGCTGTTGGGTATCATGGCAATCAATGTGATATGAATTGCCCGTTCAACTGCAAGGCTAAAATTTTGTAACCAGACTAATGGTCGGTGTATAGGTATGTACTGTGAGACTGATAATTTATGTGCAAGTTTATACTACGAAACTCATCTTACATGTACAAGTAGGTACTGTGAAAATGATCGTACATGTACAGGTAAGTAATGAAAGAAAACCTCTTACATGTACTGGTTTCGTATATACTGATAAACTAATCTTATATGTACAGATATATACTGTGAAACTCGTCTTACATCTACATGAAGATACTGTGAAACTAATCGTTCATTTTTAGGTAAGTACTGAAAAATATCGTACATGTACCTGTTTGTACTGGGAAGCTGCTCTGATATGTACAGGTATTTACTTAGAAACCCATATGACATGTACATGTACGTGATGGAAATCTGATCTTATATATACAGATGTATACTTAGAAACTCATCTTGTATGTACAGATACATATATATGTACTCAATCAAAGGAAAATATCTTACATGTACCAGTATGTACTGGGAAGCTGCTCTGATAGGTACAGGTATTTACTAGGAAACTGATCTTACTTATACAGGTATATACTGTGACATGTAAAGGCATGTACTGGGAAAATGATCTTATATGTATAGATATGTACTGAAACATTTTCTAACATGTACATGTAGGTACTACAAATAGTTGTGTTCCTCCTCTATGTTAGTTATGGCATGGAATGAATAATATATTCCTTAATTTGTACCTCAAGGATGTGAACCAGATTACCATGGTAGCGACTGTTCTCTGAGTTGCCCGGACAACTGCAAGGACCATGCTTGTATTCAGGAGAACGGACAATGCATAGGTATTGTGTGGAAGTAGTTGGAGATCTTAATATATACATGTAGTGCATTGTCTGACGTGTTATATTATATTTTATATAATAGCAATGCCGTACCTTGAGTAATATATTTATATTTTAACATGAGAGTCAATTTTATTTGAGGTTTATGGAACAAGATTAAAACAAATAGAGAACAGGGGGTAAGATTCATTTACGCAATTTCCATATGAAATTGGAAGAATGTGAAAAGAAATTCGTTAAATATCTGTACTGGCTGTTTTTTTTACTCCATTTCTTTTTTAAAATAGAAATCTAAATTTTAATTCTGTGACATGACGCCATGAGGTGTGATGACACAATTGAGACAGAAGGGATCTACAGTTAAATACATCTCCATTACGTATTATGAATTATACATTCAAAACATATATTTTATGGAATGACTTTTCGACACTGTTAAGAGGGTAGGTTTAAAAATACAATTTATTTATCTTCTTTTGTTTATGTACTTAAATGTCAGTTTTAAGACGAAATTAGTATCTAATAGTTACATGGTTTATGCACATTTTTGTAGTAGTCCAAGGCAACGAAATGCTATTATCTGATTTGCACAGACCAAATAGTTAGACATATTTATGAAAAACAAGTAATTTATTTGCACTATCGTGTCAATTTTATATCACGAATCATTAACTATTGCTTACATCCACCATGCTGTCTCTAGAGTGTGTCTCCAGCTTCCATGGTAGCAAATGTGTAGACAGGTGTGGCTACTGTCAAGATGGGAGATGTGACAAAGACACCGGGAATTGTATGACGTCATGTATAGATGGACTAACGGGCCATAGGTGTGACATAAAAGGTAAAATCATGTTTTTGTATGTTCATCATGATTCCTTATAATTTTTGGAAAGTCCTTTGCATTTTTTGAATATCATGCTGAATATAATTTTTGATCTTTATCTGTTAACGAATTCCATAATTGACCTGATAACTGACATACACCATGAACCTTTGTTAGAAAGGAGGCATTTACATATAAAGTTGACTAATAAAAGCTGAACAAAGATAGTCATGCGGCAAACAATTACATGTACAAACATACATACATACAGTTACACACATAAACATACATTATGATTATCGCTGAAGTATTTATTGGTATAAAATTGTTTATAATTCACAACGGCTCCTTTTTAAATAAAATAGAATTTATAAATTATCATATACGTTAAAAAAATGCACCTTGCAAAAGTAACAGTATATGTACCATTTTAGTCTTATGATGTCAACATTGTACATGGGTGCATAATGTACAGCTTCATGTATTAATGTGTGTTACGAATGTTCGTAACATTATAAACTTACAAAACTGATGATACCAGGGAACATTGGATCTGCAAAAGCTCGATTAAATCAATTGAAATATTATCACAAATATTAAGATAGTAATGCTTGAATGGTGTTAATAATACAAAAAAATATGTGTTCAATAGATTTAATGAAGAACATATTGTATTGACCAATGTCAGGCAAAACTTGTTAAGAAACATTTCTGAATAACAAAATGAAAATAAGATAATGCATATATCACATATCTTGTAGTTGTCAGTTTACCATGTAAAGAAGATGACTTCAATGCGGCAGCAGTTGGTATAGGTAGCGGCTGTGGAGTGGTTATCGTTGCTCTGGTCATCGTGATAATTGTACAGGCAAGAAGACATCGTTCAATGATCCATCAGAACACCACGAGGTCTACCACTATGACAGATATATCTTTACCGAGTATTGGACAGGAACGACGGGCAGAAACAGGTTTTGCATAGATATCTCTATCTAATCTAAAAAAAAACACGCTTATAGTCTCAACTAAAGTAGATTTCAGGATTAAAAATTCACTCACGCTTATTTAATACCATTTTTCAATACATACAAGAGTATATCATAACATGAACTGACTATAGCTGAACATATGAAATAATTTTAAGTTTTTATCTTTGTATCTGATAGTCGATCCTTAAGCCAACATTCATATGTAAAACAGTTTAGTGTACTTGCTTTGTGTCATTTTACAGATGGTACCTATGCCATTATAGGCGCCCAGGAAAGAGAAGAAAGCATCACGAAGATGTCTGCAGGTGACAGCAGTTATGAGCAACTCGGATATAGGGAGAGAGATGTTCCACATTTATATGAGACAACATGAGTACACCTGGAAAATCTGAACAGACAATGAATTGATATCGTTATCGAACAGAAGTGATACTGTATTGGATAATCTGAACAGACAATGTATTGATATCGTAATCGGACACAGGTGATACTGTATTGGAAAATCTGAACAGACAATGTATTGATATCGTTATCGAACAGAAGTGATACTGTATTGGAAAATCTGAACAGACAATATATTGATATCGTTAATGGACACAAGTGATACTATATTGGGTAGTATTAAACGTCATCTGACTGCCTGTCAATGTTACAGCGGGATTTTCCTCCGCAGATTATTATAGTAAAACATACTATATATATATATATATTAAAATATATACAATTGTACAATATTTTTGAGGAGTTTTGAATAGTAGATGGATTTGAAATATGTCGCCAAAGATATCTGAACTCGAAAACCTCCTGAAACATAATATTCAAAAAGAGTCAATAAATGTAAATGCCATGCATCCTGCTTTCTTATATATTCTATATAAGTACAAATGGTTTGTGGAAAAACAGTACATGTACTCGAACGCATTATTATTCAATATGGCATATGGTCTGGTTCCCCTGTATCTTAATTGGCCAATCCCTGGTCCCAGGTTCGTTGATATTAAGTATATCGACCCACTTTTATTGCACGTGACCATATCGACTTGATGTTTCTGAATTCAGATCAGGATATTTCGTTCCGAAAACCACTCCACTATTTGACAATCTAATTTCTCATATTATCTAAAGACATGAAATGTTACATAAAAAACAGAACAATTGTCTCTATTTATACGCGATATATTGACCTGCTGGAATAATATAGACCCCGAACTACGTCCGCAGTCGATATCACTATACCAGTTTATATAAGAACGTATAAACATCAACAAAAATCGATGGCTGATAATTGATCAATATATATTTACAAAGGTATAATGCTTTTACATCAAATATACGATATTTTAAAACAAAGTTGATTTTCTACTACTTTCCATTTAGGCTATATTGAAGAAGGGATTATTTCCCTTTTGGTGCGAATTTACGTTTCTGATGCACATGTCGGGCTGTAGTGATTGTAATTGGTATTGTAAAGATCGTTGAAAGTACCGATTTTGCACTTGTACATTATTAATATAGACTAGATCATTTTTGCGTCAACCATATATTGCAATTGTCTAATGTGTGTAAAAGTGATTAATAAAAAATGGATTTTAATTGACTTCTTAAGAGATCGTGATTTGAGTCTAAATTTATAGCTATCTACATCCTATCTGATCAATAATTTTAGATTAAGAAAGTATAGAGCGGAAAAGTACAATGAAAAGTGATAAATTAGTAACCTTCTGCAAATATCAACGAAATTGGTTATGACTAGATACTCAAAAACAAATAAAGTTGTAATAGAAGACCCTAGCAGTCGACTTGCTGGCCACAGCAAAAAAAATGGCAAAAACCATCTTATTGAAAATTTAGTGCGCCAACTGAAAATGGATACACAATTTTTGTGGTACCCAATTTACATATAAAACTCGATATTAAATGCGGTAGATAAGAATTGATGGAGTCAATATTGTTTGTTTTCCGCCTACTTACAGATAGATTAAAGGTTGGAGTGGAAACGATTTTCTTCACATTTGGATACTGTTTTCTCTTACAAACATTTCAGTTACACATCCACAGTGTCTTATTTAATGGCACAAGTTCAACAACTTCCCTGTCATAAATGACTGTGTCTTGTATCATATCGGTCATAGTAAACATAACATTGTGCTGAGATTGTGACAATATATGCAGTTATGTAGAACACGGTAGAATGGCTCCTCAACCAGACAATCAAACAACGCGTCGCTTGATTCAAACTCAACTAACCCGGATTTAAAACTACTATTTAAAAATATGAAAAATAAAAGAAAAAAAAAGAAAGAAAAATAATCAAAAATCACTTTCAATAGAACAATTAGTTTATGTGATATATTAGCAAACTAGGTGGTTAATGAATCATATCTAGAATCAATTTGAGATATTTGTCTACGAAATCATACAAAACTATTTGTAAATGAACTTTACACCATTTTATACAGACAAAAATACATCAGTTGATGCTTTTTACTAGATGGGATGATAATGTTCTAATATCACATATCACTCATTACATAACTTCCTGGTTGATATATTGAGATTGGGTGTATCTAAACAGGATATAACGATTTCAAATGGGGACAGACCGAGGTGTTCAGTCACCTGTTGTTACGTTCAGTGCACACAGTAACGATTCTCTCACTGACACATGTATCCCTTCACATATGGCTGTTTTTATCGCCAACTTCAGATATTTGATGTCTTTTAAAGATTAGATGACCGAACGAAAATATAAAATAAAGGTCGTTTATGTAGAAATATTACAGTAGAAAGGTGGTATAATAAGAAATAATCAAAGTCAGACAAAGAAAAATCGACGAAGGACAAGATCGAATTACACACTCTTTGTTTTGTTTTGCATATTGAGCTTATTCGGAAAAATATTCTGTTTAATGCTATATTATGCGTGACTGTTACACAATAGCGTTTAGAGAATCATTATTACCAAGTGATAAATCAAAACTTATCAGTAACGACCCTGGATCTAAAATGGATGAATGATGTACTCGATATTACAAAGCTCTTAATCATTACTATTATTTTTGTTGATTTCTATAAGCTTAAACTGTACCATAGGATCACTTTTATAAAATAGTTGGCAGGCAGATTATGAATACATTCTAGTTTGCTATACGGTGATAAATATACCTGATCAGTAATCCTTGTCTATACATATGCAAAGGTAAAAAGTGGGTTTATGATCGGATGCTTTATTGTTGGGTGACAAAGAGGATAACGCCCTCGACAAAGGAAACAAAAAAGCAGGGGAAAAAAACAACCAATCACCAGCTTCTTAAAGCTAGTCACGACTTTGAACAGGCATGTACACGTATCTTACATTACTGAATGACGCTGTTTAACTTCTCAAAAACAAGGGACGTAAGAAATTAGTATCACCTTGATTGATCCCTGATGGCATCCATTTGCCCTGTGCCTTACAAACATGAAAATGACACATATATATTATATTTGTGTTAAGATTGATGAACACCTGTCATTTTGCATATTCAATGAATTGTCTTAACATTTCCCATTGCTCTCATCTCTCAGGATTTAACTGCATCTCTGTTATATTATCATTACACGTGTTTTATAGCATGACTGTACAAACAGGGGAACTGTAGGCGTGATGAACATTTAACATGTAACGATAAAACATATCTACAGTAGCAATACCCACATACAACATAATGTGCTATATTTTAGATGATGATGCATATATGTCAAATGAATGTGAAAAAAATTGACTTCACCAATATGCACAGATACTAGTCTGGCACAATCACATTATCAGGCCTTGCATTCAGTCTTCCTTTTTATATACGTCATTGACAATGTCTCTCAGTAAAATATCCCAATAATATACTCTATCAATTACTTCATGGGCGCTGGTTTCACTACTCTAAATATTCTAATTTACTACGAATATATTTCACTGTTCTGTGCATCTTGTTGGAGACTTTTCTAGAGATACATATATACCAGTGGGACTCAAGATTCTGTGATCACTAGACATACTTAAGTGAAAAATATGATAATATATTCATAGTCACTATCTGTGCTTAAATTACAAGTACCCGGTATTTAAATAAAGCTCCATTATGTATAACGAGACATTTGAGTAAATATACCCTTTTAGTTCGCGGAATGTGTGTGGGCTGCGCAGGAAGTAAAACACAGTATTGTAAACACAGTAAAGGGGTACAACTGAATTTATTAAATGTATTACGCAGAGGCTATCCTCAGCAAATAGATCCTTATGTGCACGGATGATGATAGTTCGATTCAGTTATAAGGTGCATACAAACCTGTGAACGTGTAACGGATTAAAGTACTTTTAAAAAAGCTTAGAAATATCGGTCTGTATTGTCTTGATCTAACAAACTGTTATTACAGTTGACGAGTAATGACAGGTTTAAGGCAACCTCAGTAAAGTCAAGCAATATTTATAACAGATATATTTTAACCTCAATTGCCAAACACAATTTGCTCATTGTGTATTCATTCTTGACAAAAACAGCCCACACACTTTCTCTTTTTCAGTAATATTATCATGTTATGGCCGTTGCTCCCTTCTGTCATATTATATGGGCATATCGAGTTGCATCACACTGGGAATGCAGCTTTTACTAACCGTTTGATAAAGAAGTACAGAGCTGGGTTTTTTTAACTTCCTGGTCAGTATATGTGTGGTAGAAATACACTACATCATACCTCCGGCTTATTAAAGGTACACATTGTGTAGAATGGAGGTGTGTCCTATGTGGTTGGTGATTCTCTTCTTCATAGCATCGGTTCAGATTGTCAACACATCAGGTATGATTGAATACATAAATTCTGTTAATGTTTTATGCTGATCGTGAATTATCTTGAACGTTTGGTTTGTATCATTTTTAATACCAAATGATTTTAATAGATTACAAAGGCAGTTATGAACATAGATGAGGTTCCAATGAATAGTATTTGATATGTGCATGTTTAAAATCACGTTTTGACTGACTTAATATATGCATCGCGAAAACGACCCGTTTGAGTATGCAAGTGTTCCTATCATATAAACATTCATGTGTGAACGCTGTTACTGAATAAACTGGTGACTATCACATTGGTTCACTAAAAGGTACACATTGTAAGATTGTCGCGATTCCGCTTAGCTTACTCATCACTTCTTACATATCTTCGTATTTAGAAAGCGGGGCAATCTTATTTAAGATGATGTAAAATATTCCTGTTGGCGTTAACGTTACCGTGGTAGTGTTAAGAAAAAGCTGTTTCTTGGTTGATGCAGTAAAAGTATCACAATATTGATGCAGATATAAACCTGGTACAATGCAGTTCATGTTTATACTGTCAAACCTTTGAAATGTTCCCTATTAAAACGTTATCAGGCTTAATACTTACATAATGCAGATTACATGTTTAAAAATACATAGTAGACACGACGATTGCATGTGTACATTAATTAAATGTAATGACATGAGATACGCTATCCTTAATGTTGAATATATACTTTGAACCGTAGTAGTAAAGCTTGATATCAACGTACTAATTACACTTCGTCTTAAGACTGTCCAAGTGTACCATATTAACATGTAATTGTCAATATGTAATGCATTATATACAAATGTATGCATTGTGTATATAGCTCAATACCAAGGTTCTTTATAACAATCAGTGATTATAGACTATAGTAGCAAGGGATTACACCTGTAAATATGAACAACTATTACACTGAATCAAATGTTCAAAGTGGTAGTCACAACTAATCAAAAATATCAGAAATACATTATTTATGTTGTGATTGTTTTAGTTTGTACACGCCAGGCCGTAAAAATAACATTTAAAGTAGATAGGGTGGAAAAGTTAATTGTAATGTAAACCTACTGCAAACATTTCTCTGGTCAAGTAGAGCAGAACTCAATGTAACCTCCTGGTATATATATGTACACGAGTACGGGGGAAAGCCTAGGTTATACCACCATGTTTATATATGTACTTGGGTACGGGGGAAAGACTAGGTTATACCACACTGTTTATATATGTACTGGGTACGGGGAAAAGACTAGGTTATACTACACTGTTTATATATGTACTGGGTACGGGGGAAAGACTAGGTTATACCGCAATGTTTATATATGTACTTGGGTACGGGGGAAAGACTAGGCCATACCACACTGTTTATATATGTACTTGGGTACGGGGGAAAGACGAGGTTATACCACAATGTATATATATGTACTTGTGTACGGGGGAAAGACTAGGTTATACCACACTGTTTATATATGTACTTGGGGACGGGGGAAAGACTAGGTCATACCACCCTGTTTATATATGTACTTGGGTACGGGGGAAAGACTAGGCCATACCACAATGTTTATATATGTACTTGGGTACAGGAGGAAGACTAGGTTATACCACCATCTTTATATATATAATATATCTTATACTTAGAATAGGTTACGTGTTTCATATCAATTTCATTGGCCTAGCATGCTGTCATGTTTACGATGCATATCCGGATAGTACAACACACATACTCAATTAAATAGTATGTCAATATTACCGAAAGCATTGGCACTACATCATAGCGTGTAGGAAAAAAGACCATGCATATTTTATTTGCATTTTTTAAACTCACCTGATGAGTTCAATTATGGCGGGCTGGGCAGTTAGCACATCGATAATTTAATGGCGAAGTAAACGTGCAGGCGATTCGGGAGCTGGCTGATTAGATCGTTTCGTTTAGAGAGCACTTGGCATGTGTCTAACTATTTACCTGTTGTAAAGTAAAGATTTCTAAAGAAAGTGGTCTTAGATCTGTGGAAATCCAGGACCGAGGGGTAACTTCCGAAGCGTTACTTAACACAAAGATTTTATTTGATACATGTTTTATAGAAGATGCACATTCAAAAGTTTTACGTGTATAATTATGTCTAGATATATCTTATATATTGCGTTTCCATGTTGTCGTTTACAATACATGGGGCTAATTAAGATTTACACCATGAGATTCTTTCTGACAGGTGACAATATAGGAAACATATTTACTTTCCCCTTACCCAACTCTGCTGTGTTGTACTCGCACTAGCTACAAATACACCCATTCAAAGTCTGCAGTCACCTGTTTACGTTTAAAGGACGAGCCTATACAAAGTGTACTTCGATAGGGTCCACGATGGTTAATGTCGCTTAAATTAAAATGTTATTGTTGTGGACACATAAAAGTCCTTATACAACATAATTACAAGATCCACGATGATTTAGCATGAGTCACGTGATAACCAATGATTCATTTAAATCCCCGTTGAGGTCAGAGTAGGCAGTAAAAACTTTGTATGAGCCTAAAAATATGTCAATCAAGTTGTTTATTTTATTGTAATACACTTCGAACAATAAAAGTCGGGGAACTTAATAATTAAACCGTTTTTAGATGAGGTTCATGGGCGATATGAATGTCCATTGAATTACAGGAAAATGACATGAACTGTATTAGAAATGACATTTAAAATCTACGTTTACGCTTTCGCTTCTACCTGTCTTTTCTAAAACGAATATAACATCTCTTCAATTTTAGTATGTAACAGTATGTACATTTCTCCAAGATACACATAGATATTCTTCATGTGCCTTCCTATGTCTAAATTTGTCAAATATAGTTTGTTGATTCAACAATCCTAAAAAGGAGGTTCCCAAACGAACGATGGCTGGTTATCATGTTTATTTAGCTGGAGGTAGTTCAAATTGTATAAAGAAATGAGGTTTACCGACTGTATAAACACGATAATCAGTCATAACTAGTTAGGGGACCCACTACGTTCCGATATTATATCGGAGAAACAATTGCTATGAACTTTTACGTCATAATGGAAAATGACGTCGCAAATAATTGTTTCTTTACGTTATAATTTGAATGTTGAAGTCGCAAATGAACAAAGAGAAGTCATGCTATTGCTTTTCGGCTTAATTGTGAGTGCTAAACATTTTGTTTGCTTTAATGGTGCGGCACTGATAGCGATATTTGTTTAAGCTTAACTGGAAACGGACGTGGGGGACAGTGAACTAGTGATAGCTTGCAATTTGCACTTACGGTGTCGTTGGACACATTTTTATACATTGAATTTTCTTTCCGCCTAAATGTTATAAAGTATTGTTATTCTAATAGAAATAATTTATTTCGTATATGCCTTCATGCTTGAATACTTCTCACCCAAAGCAAAAAAAAAGAAATCACAACGAGACTTAACGTGACTTCCGGGATTTTTGTCCACTCGATAACGTTCGTGGTACTTCTTTTTTGGTTCATAATCTGAAAATCCGAAAGATATTTACTTGGTTAACATATTGACATTGCAGCTCAAATTTCAATATTTCAGTGGGATGGTTGTGTAGCGCAGTAAATAGCGCACTAACTTTTCACCAAAGCGGACGGGGTTCGACTCCTCGACCGGACGTGAAAGTGTATTGGGTCACCTGCCCGACCACGTCGGTTCTCTCTGGTCACATCGGTTTCCTCCCACATTAAGACCCCTGCGCGCTAACATCCGGGCCAAAATTTATTAATCTAGTTTTGTAGTAATGATACTTCTTCAATGACCGGATATTTTCGGGGTATTTTTTTATTGTCATTATGCTTCTCCTGAAGTATTATGCGTGACATCATCATATGATCATACGTTCAAATTTAGCATATTCAGTGCTGCCTTCGGTGTTAATGCGTAAGTTCATTATGACATAAATTCAATGAGCAAAATGCGCATCTGAATCATGACATGCGATATTGCATTTGAGTTCGGAAAAGACACAAACATATTTACAGAATGTTCAAGTCAGTAAATCGCAAGGTCATGAAATACATAAACGTGAGTATAGAAGTGTATATAAAACATTTTACTAGTATGTCATGTTAACATGTCAAAATTTTGGCATATTGACGGCTAAATGCTTGATAAATGAGTAAGATAAGAAAGCATAACAGTGTATATTTGCCCGTTCAAATTATTATATTAATCATGGCTAGCGAATCGAAAAAGCCATGTACATTTTTGTTCATGTATTACACACATTATAATGTGATTGTATCGTTGCAATATTTGCTAAATGCAATTATATCAAACATTCGTGTCAAAATTATGTTGTAAGATTTTTTATTAAATTCTATCGTCATTGACAAACATAATATCTAAATCTGCATCTTGTAGTTTATAGCACGATCTTATGTCAAAACAAATGTTTATTTAACTACACGGGAATGTGTTGGTAATAAGCCAGTGTGGTTAGTGCGCTGTATACGTTTTACATTGATAGAAATAATGCTTCCACCTGATTTGCAAAAATTTGACATTAAGGTTTTAAAAGCACTTTATCCAGTAAGTGAACAAAAAATAGACTTCTATATCATGTAGCCCATCTTAGCATATCCTTTATTTGAAATACTCATGTGTACATTGTCCTTTGCTGTGTCATAACGTGTTTTCTTTTCCATTTCAGTAAACACCAGTCTTGGACCAAAAGTCACGACAAGTCAGAGTTCAAATTATGATAACACGTACATTAGTGACAAGGTAGTAGATAACTGTATTAATCAGACGTTACGAAGTGGTTGTTGCTCACATACAAAAGGGAATCCTACACCAAATGAAGTTTGGTGGCTGATTGACCTTGGTGATCAAGTCGTCATCGAATACGTCAAGATATACTACAGAGGTAATGTAAACATATATACATATTCTCTACAAACACTTACCTAACCAGAAAGCAAAGAAGCGGTATAGTCAGTAGGTAATCATATAATACCCCATGATTGAAGTGGTTGTGTGTTAACTGTAAAAGTAAGTACAATTTTAACTAACAGCACAGCTACTGACCAATATCATAAAGAGGTATTTTATTCCGGTTTATCGCTCGTCAAAGCCGATTACAATTATTTGTATTTCATTTTGCGTCATTTTACTCATATCGTGCAGAATAAATGCTGAGTTGTTGGTCTTTTGGTTCATGATGCAGTGTCTACGAAGTCCGAATTTGGTTTTAAAACGAACCGAAAATGGTAACGTCAATGTTCAGTTAAATAGTGATATATTTTATACCATAGTATCGATTCCAAAAAAAATATTTGTTCATTTTTCATAAACAAATATACCATCCACTTTTCTTTTTTATTACCAGTCGATATTTCCGTCATGCAGTTCTATAAATAGATCGCGAAATATAATGAGAAGAAAGTGGCACACTGTTTTAACAAACTTTTAGCGAATGGGGGGATCTAATTTTTTTTTTACTCCAAGCTAGCATATTTTATTTTTATTATTATTATTATGCAAATTTTACCCAACCAGATAGCGTTGCATGGCAGATACATTAGGAAATCTATGTTTTCGTTATTAGTTCTAACCTTAAACTATCCATGTGACTATAAGGGACAGTCAATACAATCTATAAACAGTGGAATTGACAGAAACGTTAAATGTATATACGTAAAAATACTTCTTTGAACATCGCATGCACATTTCTTAGGCCGCTATCCAACAAGTGTTTCGTTTTGGGGTATTGTTTCTGAACTGGACACGTCTCATTTTACGACCTTATGACAAGCATAACCTATCTTATCCCCGACTTATTGCATAACCATTGCACAACTGTATCAATTATTTACACGAATTCCTATCATTTTGTTTAGATGAAGACGTGACACATGTGTACGCATTGTGTGACTGAGTAGCGGTTAACGCTCGTAACAGTTTCTAATAGGCATGTTTATTCATAGATGTTAATCAACAGTCTTGTTTCAGGCACATGTAAACAAGGTAACAACATCCAATCTGCGTACAGCAATATAAACTCGTATCTATGTCTCAATATTCTAGCTAAAAAACGAAAGCGTTGTGTCTCAACACATGTATCAAAACCATCTCTCTGGTTTCTATGATATGGACACTCTTCTAGGGTAAAAAATGACCGCCTTAGTGGTCTCCAAGAACCGACTCTCTGTTGAGTAAACCTGTCCCTATTCTATACAGAAAGCAACTTCCGGTTCCTGTTAGGATGGGAATAATGGAAAGTGCCGAGGGCACAAAATAAGAAACAAATGCAGTTCGCGAGAGAACATTCAAAAGCCTATCAAGGGTCGAAGATAAGATCACCATTGAATCATAGCGAAGCAGAAACTTAAGGGGTGCCATAGTGCGTACCAATCTATGTTAGGGAAATGCATAAAGCAATTGAAGTAAATATGAAATCTAAGTTCAAAGAAAGAGTATGGATTAAACTTAAACTTTCTGATAAAGATATTAATTGGTTGTACATGTATATATATAAGTCCAAATACCGATAAGAATAATATTGATTAACTTTTTAAATTGGTAATTTGGTAATTGGTAAATATAAGAGACAAGTATTTAACACAGCATATAAGGTAATATACCAGAAGGATGATAGGCTGTGAACCAGCTGTACTGGACTTGTTGATAACAAATGAAGAAGAAATGATGAATGAAATTATCTTTGAAAGTCCTCTCGTCCACAGTGACCACTTTGTTCTGAAATATATATTTCTCTGCTATAACCGGAAATCTGATAATGCAGTGTATCGCCAGAATTACCACAAAGGAAATTATGATATAATTAAAGCGGAATTAAATATTCCTTGGGATGAAATTCTGAAAGACCCAGACACAATGTACTGTTATTTTTTTAAGGATTAGTTCGCGCAAGTATAGATAAACATATTCCAAAAACTAAAAGAGGAAACGGGATTAGTAAAGGATATCTCCCACAAACAGAAGAAGTAAGACAAAAAAATCAACAAGAAGCACAGGGCTTGGCAAAGGTACATGGAGACAAGATGCGATTTAAAACACAGAGAATGCACTAAATTAAGAAATCAGGAAACTGGAAAGGTCCTGTCTGCATAAAAGGACGCTGATATTTCAGCAATATTTAAAAAGGGTTAAAACCAGAAGCAGGAAACTACCGACCAGTGAGCCTTACAAATATCGTAGGTAAAACATTGGGAAATACAATACGCGATTCAATTGTTACACATATGGAGAAAAACAACCTGTTCAGTAATAACCAATTTGGATTCATCTCAAAACGTTCAACGGTGCTGCAACTATAAATGGTTCTAGAAGATTGGACTGAAATAGTTGACAAGGGCGGAGTGATAGACGTAGTGTACATGGATTTTATGAAAGCCTAGAAAAAATGTCCCACACAAAATATAAATAGGAAAACTTCGAAGCTGTGGTTAAAGTTTTGCGGTTGTAACATAGATTGAAGACTGTTTGAGTAATAGAAAGCAGAATATGTCGTTTGAGCTATGTTCATGATATTTTCTTTTTAAGAGAAACTATTATTTTTAAAAGAAAATGTCAAAAAGTTTATAAAAGACTTTTTATCAATATATCATAAAAAAGACACCAAATTCAAGTAATATTTTGAAAAAAATGAATGTAAAAAAATCGGGAAATTCCCATTTATGAAAATTGAAAGTATACCTCGTATAAATGCTTTTCATAGTCAACATTACCAAGTGATTTTGCTGTATTCTTATAAAAACAAAAATCTCAAAAGATATAGTTCAATACCGCTCTAATTATACGGTATGTATTTTTGTAGGTCGTTGTGCCGTTATATAGTTCAATTGGCAGAGAGTGCTGGACCAGATATATATGTACATGTATAAGGAAAACTGAAAAGTTTAAACATATTGTCCATAAACACATGTTCCGATAGGGAACCCAATAATACTAACAAACTAAAAAGTCAGTCTTCTTCCAAGCTTTCGGGCTTAGCCCTTCGTCAGGGATTATATGCTATCGGACCTCTATGTCACATCCATCTTGAAAAACAGGTTGAGTTACTCATCTTGAAAAAAACACCATCTAATCCCTGAAGAAGGGCTTAGCTCGAAAGATTGAAAAAATGAATAACTTTTAGTTTGTTAGTGTATAAACATACATAAAGTAGAGATAATTTTTGTGTTTTACTAAAAGAAATGTAAAATGTCTTAACCTTTATCTATATAATGGAGAGAGAAAAAACAGAAACTCGACGACAAGAAGTTGAAGAGATAAGTTCCCTATCAAAGTTAAATTTAAGAATTTATAAATACTGTTCATATAATTAATTTGACAACCAATTGTAATTGTAGTCTCGTCTATATTGTTCAAATTGAAATATGTTATTTCTTTGATATATGTAAAAGCCAAAGATTTGACACCAGTGCTAGAATTCAACGTGTTCGGATGATACGTTTTTACATAGATCTTTTTACATTACGATTTAAATGCTAGAAAAATGTACCACTAGCATCAGCATTTTTTTATCTAGATCTGAAGTTATGCTATGTATTGTGTTATTGAATAGGGTGGGGCTGAAACAGCTCTTCTTTGGGGTACCTTTCTCTCTAGTTCCTTCACAGTAATATTCCTTCTTTTGATTTAAATTTCAAGTTAGTTGATTATTCCATGATTCCTCATTTTTTCTGAGACCACATCTATGAGTATTGAATGATATGTATTTTTCACTTATGCATACTTGGGGGTACAGATGAATTCTACTTATATTTTATTCTTAAACAAATAATTAAAATACTTATTAGTGTGTTGTCAAGTTATAATTAATTGTGATACGTCAGGGATCTTTTATGTGATTTATATACTTCGATTGATGTCTGTTATCAAGATCATACTATACAAAACAAAATGTATATGTAAGTACATGCATTATATATATGATAGAAGTCTTTAATACATCTTAAACTCACACAGCAATAATTGTATAGGTTCACAGTTTTTGAGTTTGTTTGTTCATCATATACACAGAAACAGTGTGGTTCATCATTCTTTTTTTTCTGTTTTAATATTCATTCTTCAATTATTATTTGCTTACATTACTTATATCAATTTCATATCATACACAGCTAGATATTTGAAATGAAAATAGAAACAATAAACATATAAATATAACAACGATGTTATGATGCTTTCACTTTTTCAAATAAATTGATCTGAATATAAGTGTATACATTTGTGAGACTATCTCCCTACTAATACGTATGAATGTAATTCGGTTGTCACTCAATCCATGTAAATGATTGTATGAACCACTATTATCATAGTAAAATTATCCAGTTATTTGTTTAAACAGATTGTGAACAAGAGAACAAAAGCAAAGGGACTTAGATTTTTATATGAACTTTAAATCATATGCTATATTTTATAACATTATTTGGTGTTATTTCTAATACAAAAGTGTTATAATATTTGAAACATGTCTAGATTTTTTAGAACTACACTAAATGTTACGATAAGACATTTTATGTAAAGTTCATTGATACATGAAGGTCACAAGATTCTTGGTTTTGCATTTACATGTATTAACCGGTAACATTTGGTATCGCAGAACTTTACTATGATACTTTTGGTATATAAAAACAACAGCTATTTTTCATGATGACACCGGTAATAATTCCTGCTTGCAGAAAATATTAATAGTGGGTGTGATGATTATTATAACTAATGAAACAAAATCAAAATGGATATCTGAAGCACGAAGTTTAATTTGAGTCTTCGAATATGACTTGACATGGGATTGAAATGTTGGGTGCGTATACCATATTAAAGGGGGCATGTTGATGTTTTACAAGTTTCGCCATAATCGAGTTTGTTCTCCTGTCCAATGTATTAGATTTTAAAGGTGCAATAAGATTTGTGTGTTTTAATTTCGTCTTGCTACATTTTAGTTTAAAAACACTAACTAATCAGAGTTTCAAAAGCTAATGAAATATGTTCAGATTCCTCTTAAAATCCAACTTTAGTCCTCGAAAGTTGTAAAAGCATGAAAATTGTAATGAATGTCACATAGTATTTCAACAAGTTTAAATGTAGAAACGAAAATCGGACAGGTTAACAGACGTCCGGAAAGACAAACCGATTGCCGTACATTCACATATGCTCATCAATGAGATATAAGGTAATAATTCGGACTAGTGATTATTACTTAGATAATACTGTGATGCAATAATAGTAATTTTAGATATAGCTAGTCAATATCCAATATTCCTGATATTTAAATCTGCTAAATGACTGTACAGATATGTTAGTGGTTTGCATTATTTTCCAATAATATTCAATGTAATATTTTCTGCCCGGTTATTCTATAATATTGTTAAATTTGATCTGTGCATAGTTTTAAAAAAATCTTATTTTCGCACTAAATCCAATGTTTATTGCTATCTTCTAATATTGGTGGTATATTCAAAATTTTACAAAAGAAGTAGAACCGTAAATTTTAGAAATTATATCAATACAATAAATTATTGTATCTGTTAAGTTTGGAAATGTAAAATGTAGTAAACCATAGAAAATGTGTTACCCTTCATTGTTTGCAGATTAATTCCTTATCTCTAATAATGTTTAATACTGATTTACTGTAGCGTCGCTAAGTCGTGTATATCATGTCAAGTTGACGTCTGTTTGAGCCCGTCTGGTCTTGGCCTTTGGTATGCTTTGTCTCCGCAGTTCTATGGTTGTTATAAACATCACCAATTCAAGAGTACAATTCAACTTAGAACTTGTAATAGTTCAACAAAATATTTATATTTATATTTGGTACATATATATGTACACTCATATAAATACAAAATGATACCAAGTATTTCCTAATGCACCTCACTACAACAACAGGATCGAAAGAGCCTATTGGAAATTATTAGCGAATATTGGAGATTATTGGATTTTTTTGCGGAATTATTTCACTAGTATTATTATAAGTAACACAGCATGGGGGATGTTCTTTACAAGAACGCCCAAGTTTCTGATTAGTTACCTCGTCCCTGCATTCCATTGTTGTCAAAATTTGGTAAATATTATAATATGGTTGATCGCGGTGAGGTGATGGTATATTGACCGTCTTTTGAGAGGCGTAAAATCGCTCCTCTTGAATATCTGCGGTTCACAACTATTTATACTATTAGCTGACCAATTACAATTAAGTATGCAGAAAAGTTAACCAGATGTAATAATCCTTTGTTTTTTCCTTCTCCAATAGCAATACTTACATAAGATAAAATCCGAGAGTTCCGAATGCAACACAAGCATGGCGTTGTACAAGGCAGATGACAGCTGTCTAACAGTTTACAATCTTCGATTATGTTCAATTTGAAACGTATCAGTATAAAAGCTATAGCATATTAATGACAGAAAACATTCTTCTTTTTTGGGATATATAGTCTTGATAATCGCGTACAATTAATATAGAAACCGAAGCAACTACAACATCATACACACATTCCCAAAGAAATACAATATTCATACAAAGGTTCTTCATTCAAATAGCGATTATAATCGTTACAAATAAACTTTATACATTGGTAAACCGATAATAATATAAACTGCTTTAACTGTAATGCTTCAAAGAGTGTAGTAGGTAATGGGGTCATTACATTACTATAAATGAATTGCATAACAGTTTTGTTTTAATGACTCTTATGTCAATTTTCCTATTACATAATCGTTCATATATAAGAGAATGTGTGTATCATATGACGTTTATTCCTCCTAACTTTTTTCCCAATGCAACTTAATTGACTGTTCAAAATGCATATATTATAAAAACTACCAAGATATTCGTAAGTACGTGTGTCCTTAATGTTGTTCAACCTTTTTACTATCCGAAATGTTCCAAACAATGTAAACGTATTGACAACGTGCCTTTTCTTGTGACCAGTTCATGCATGACTGGTTATCTAAAGCTTGTTGCAACCCTTTAATGTATTATAACTGCAACAATTGGTATATATGCTCTCCTCAAATAACGTTAATTTTGCCATATTAATATTACTACACTGTACATATTTATAATGTCAATCAGACGTGTTGGCTATGTTTGTCACTGTAAGATATATACCATAGACAATTATGAAACTAACGGTCAAAAGTGTCAAACATGTAAACAAAAAAATCCTCAAATCACATTTTATGAAGAACCAAGAGATAGACATTTTAGCTGAAGTACTGCACAGTTTAAAAAAAGAACCTCGACATACGTTCTAGGTTTTATGGGTCAATAATGTTATGTTAATGTAGTTAAATCTTATGGTACTTAAGGGTCTAATGTAGTAACATGAAGAATTTTAATTGCGAAGAAATATCCTTTTTTTCCTTGAACGAATTACATTAACCAGTGTGGAAAGTATCATAATTTAGTTTGTCAAACTTCTTATGAAAGCTATTGAAGTTAATGGAATGAAGATACTTTGTCTTTGACTGCTACATGACAATTTGTCCTGACAAACTTTGAAGTTTACGGACGTGGAATTGTGATATCAAACAGTATTGAAAGGCAGGTGTGAGCGATACATACATGCCTATTCGATATCTTGTCTAACACTTAAGATATCCTGTATTTATAACAACACATTGATCGATTGTAGTGAGATTATATAGACACTAACATTTTCATATGAAAGGATTTGATTGAAAAAAAAATGTTTTAAAATCTCAGACAGGTGACTAATTCTGAGATAAATCGGTCCAAACTATCTGGGGTTCCTGTTCATATGCAAGTTTTTAAAGATATTGATAAAAGGCATAAACATGGTATTATAGTTGCAGCTTTGAATTCAGATAATTGAAATCATTAGCTCCATGCACACATTTCAGGAGAAACCCTTCACATCTCTGACACACTAATTCGACGTAAGGATTTTCAACAGATGAAATTGTTTGAACTATATCTGTTACAGAATAAATCAAATGTAGGGATACATATTTTGATACGGGTTAATATCGCGGATTATTCAGAAAAAAACGTCTGTTGTTAGAATCCTGTGTTTTACAAAGGGTGTAACGACTTCATAAATAGGTCTTCCGGAAGAAATCAACAGGAATTACGGTCAGCATTCGTTTTACTACATATGTAGCTGTATACATTAAAACTTATTTAACCGTTTATTTTTCGTCTGTATCTGTTTACAGCTAAAATCAGCGAAAAAATAGATATCATTGTAAACCAGTTATGAAGTATAGGAAGGAAATAATTAAAATGGCTACTACTGTCAGACAGGATGCATATTATATATTAATGGAATGAAAGCAGAAACGAAACAAATTTGTATTACAAATATCAATACACTTAAACTTGTGATTATTAACATTTGTATTCATTCAGATGAGGGATCATTAGAGCAAAAAGGTCGATTCGCTGGTCATCAAATATACCTGTCAGATACTACAACAGGTTGGAGAAAGAGTGGGAGCTGTTTTACAGACACAACTTCTACACAAAATATGGTGAAACTAACTCAACAAATCACATCGTGTACAGGCAACACCCGATACCTGACAATTTACGTCGACCGTCGAACAAAAAGTTACGATTGGTACTCTACACAAGCTATACTGGAACTCTGTGAAGTACAAGTTTATGGTGAGTGTATTCGTGGAGTAGTTTGATGTGAACCATTGATACGTCATATGATGTTTATAGTCTCCATTTTGTTGTATTGTGTGTATATGTCATTCGTGCCTTGAAAAGTTTAATCAACAATCTTAAAATTGTGTTTAAGAGAAATAAACTAAATTGACAAGAATGAAACATGGGAACGTTATGTGTCGCAATTTGAACAATTCACCACCAGGGCTTTTATGTTCCTTGTTAGTGGTGAGTTTGGCTTAACAGAAATAACATGCTTCGTTCCAGGTAATTTGTCTTGAATGTGAAGCAAATTTAATCCAATTCATACTACATGTTGTTTGAGATATCCAGATTCAATCCCTATACAAGGCTATTATCAAATATCGAAATATATTAAATATTTTGCCGCGTATGCTATCAGCCTGTTGTTCATCACACGATGTAACGTACATGTACGCGTCAAGGTTGTGGAAATCTGACCGATCAGATAATAGCTTTAATATTATAGAAATAAACAACATTATGACATTGATTGCAAGAAAATCATAACACCAAAACCTATCGTTGGTTTGGATCACTATGTTATGCAAAGGGAGACAAATCTTACGAGAAAAAAATAAAATAATTTCGAAAATATTAGAGTAGATTCAAATGAGTATTTTTTTCACACGTGTACCTATAGACAATTACGAAACATGTACATTTAAAAAAAATCAAACTTGACTGATATTCATATTTCATTTGTTTTTTAATAATTGTATGTTCACCTTATTACTTATCAAAACAATAGTGATTATTAAGTTTTCTTAATCCTATATCCAAAAAAATTTCAAAGACCAAACATTCATCAAATCTTATAAGCAATTACAACACGACAGAAAGGTTTGTTGGATGGCGTATTGGATAACGCACTCGCCGTTCAGCAAGATGACCGTGTTCGATCCCCCAAGGGACTTGGTTTTATTTTGTTTAACGTCCTATTAACAGCTATGGTAATTTAAAGATATGCTCCTATCTGTGTTGTGTATTCATGTATGTTTGTATCTGTGCTGATTGCAGGTTATGTTGTTGTTTCCTCCTTGTGATAGCATGTATCTGATGCTGACTTTAAAGTTGTATCTCACTGGAATACCTTGCAAAAGGCACCCAGTACAGCATTTCGTCTTGTAACATTATACTGACAAAGGGTGAAGCTGTTGTTGCTATTACCATAAATGCCTTACGTTAAGCTGGGAAGAGTACCCGCCATTTTTAAGGACTTTAGTATGATCTGGCCTCGGGACAGAACCAAATGCCTTCCTCACCTGAACGAACGTTAAACTTTAAAGCTAAAAGTGAGGTATTGCCAAGCAAGACGCTATAAAATAAAAGGTAGTTAGAAGTAGTGGGAAATGTAAAGATCCCAAATATTGCAATGGGTGCAGCAGATTTATTTTGGTCGCTTTTGTTACCTCAAATAGAAGACACTAAAGCAAATGCCAAATTCTGCAAGCTTTTTCACATCAATCGCCTCTTATGGTACATGTAGTGGATAACAGCAGGTGTATTCATTTCCCGATCCCCGATCTGCAAGGGTGTCCCCGATCGGACGTGAAAAGGTGTTGAATCACTAGCCCGACTACGTGGATTTTCTCTGGGTACTCTGGATTCCTCTCGTAGTAAGATTCTTTTATTTTTCCATCCAGGCAAACAAAGGTGAAGTATATATGATGGAACAACAGGTTTCATTCTTGGTGTAAAGGCAATAAAAATGTTTTTATCTTAATAAAGGATTCACATTTTAAAGGCCGGTCAAAATACTCCTTTTTCAGTAGCCACTTGTATAATGCATGACACCTATTATAGAGACAAACTAATATAAAATTACTTTAAACATTGAAACTGTATAATCGATTTTAATTTATTTTAAGCGCATATGATCAGGTAATTTTCTGTTACTTTTTATAAAATGTTCAAGTTTTTTTTAATTTTTGTTACACAAATACACAATTATTGGACTTTATTCGTGGCTTGTTTGGTTGCAGATGCTTTTGGTGAGAGATCATAACCTTAAACAATTCAATAAAAAAATTTGCTGCTATGTATTGATGTTCATATTTCAATTTACCATACTTCTCTATTTAGCGAAAAATGATAAAGTTCGTTTAGGGAGGAAAGGATATTTGAACATATTGCATCATAAGAGATACAAATTCCAGGTTGTCCACTAGGAAAATATGGTAACAGTAACTGTGGTAGCAACTGTGATACAACTTGTGTTAATAGCCTGTGTCATCCTAACAGCGGCCGGTGTACATGTAAGTAAAAATGTTTTAAATAGATTTTTTAATTGTAATAGACGAATGTTCATATTGATATATATCCAACAAATGTGAAAATTGACAAAACTCCAGGAATTATACAAAAATGTGTTATTCACAAACGAAGACGTTGCATTTTGCACAAATATTGCCATTGTTTTAGACATTCAGTGTTACTAGGCACCTGAAGAGCAAATACATTGAACAGTTTGTCATTTACACATTTATTTATATATCATTATAATATAAGATAATTTCATTCGTTGACATACAAATTACATCACGAATGTTTTCCATTAAGTTGTGTACTATTGCTTTTCTTTATCTCATTTTTTCTTGATTTCAATGAAATGCCATTGCCTTTAGGATAATATACTAACTGTTATTAATACTACCATTAGATAATTGTAGTCTGATACTTTGAATCAGCAGTGATTACTTAATAACATATCATACACTGTAACGTCTTATTATTTTTAGACTGTGCGCCGGGATTTTATAAGTCTGGGCTTGTTTGTACAGCATGTCCGACAAACTGTTTGAATGGCGTGTGCAATGTGGAGTCCGGTGTTTGCTCAGGTAAGTAAAACGTCATTCTCTCATTTCATTTGTAAGATAGGGCTGTCCAGGGTAGAAAGGGGTGTGTGAAATTTCTATCTTACATCCCATTTCATGTGACGTGACGTCACAGTGGCTCAACAATGACTTGACGTCACGAGTTTGGAAATATCCTATGCTGCAATGTGGAAAAGGCGACGTGATTAAATTTAAACCTTTTACGATATATTTACCGTATACCTTAGAAAGATGTGATCATATATTCTGCGCAAACTTTGTTTGGAATTTTGGAGTATACTAAATCTGGCTGACAAATTCGTTTTTGTCTAAAAAGCTCATATGAAAATTTGATATTTTCAAATTGGTTGCCAGTCCAAACTCATTTTCGTGGTTTCTAAGCTTATATGACTATTCTATGCCCAAGGGTGTAGGATAGGGATATTCCACCCTCGGGATTTATAAATTTGGCAAAACCCCTCGGTAGGAATTTCCCTATCTTACATCCCTGGGCATGAAAGAGTCTTATAAAATATCTGTATCTATGATTAAAACATACAATATTGGTTTTGGGTGAGTTTATGATAAACATGCAGTGATGTGTAGATGAACCAGGAATACAGTTACAGTATTGTTTTACTCTTGCTGGCCTAAACTGATTTTTGTATTGCTTTCCTAGAAGTCTCAATTTCAACCATTATTGTGACTAATATTATAGTAATCGGACACATGTTGTCATCTTATTAACTGTGTGTTGTAGTTTATACATATATAAGTGAAAAATAAATCGAAATTGTATCAATTAATTTTGAAATATAACTATTTTGACATCGTGTCTCTAATGGCGATCGATATTGGCCAGCAGAGTTCACCATATACAGAATATATAAGATTATGATATTTCAAAGGTATAAATCATACACTTTATATTCCAATAGGTCAATTTTGATTTAGTTACAGCAACTTGCAGATGGAAAATGTTACGTTTGATACAGATGAACCAATCTACATTTACTATAACGTAGTTTGCGGCTTTGGAGGGAAACACTTCATGATGCCTGTGCGCTACCAAAGCTGTGTCAATCACATTGATTGTTAATGATATTTCAACGGAGTTCAATGAAATAAACATTGTCTTATATCTATACAAATACATGTACTTTGTCACCCTTTTAGTACTAATTTGATAATATGGCACATTTGGTAATATATTTGTACTATCACCTCTTGCATTAAGGCCTTAATGAAATATGGTCTTGGATTTAATTTGACTTCACTTGTTTGATTTAAAAGTACCTGATGTGCTTTGTAACGTTTTGTCGAAACACCATCCAATAATTGAATGTACCGTGTTTATTCAGCTTTTGTCAATGGGATCGACATTTATGATCAATACTGTCGGGTAAACTGTCAGGGGAAAATGTATGTGAGGGAACGTGTACGTAGGCAATGATACGATCGATTAAATAAATATTTTGATAGGACTGCAGGAGCTATTCTGGTTCAGATAAAAGTTCTTCTGACACAAAAAAAAAACATTTTCAATGACATGGTTAGTTTGAAAGTCTGCGTTTATATAGAATATGTAGTTGTTTGCATCCTCATATATTGATATCACGGAATACGGTACTGCCGATTGAAACTAAAAACGGATATGAATGAGGGTTTTGTTGTGAATCTGATCCCCTTCCATTCTCTTATCATCACAGACAAAACCTTTCCTTAGCGTAATTGCATATGTATTCAAAGCATACTGGACCACTTACGTAAAAGGAAATACATCCTTCCGCCTTTTTTTATGTATGCTGCTCTTCAAACGTGAATGCTTGTGACTAAAGGTACATCGCTTAATGTTGCTAACCTTTATCAGTTTAAATGTTTGTATTTCATTCTAGAACGAAAATAAGCATTTGTACTGGGATTTAATTAAAAGCAATTATTTGATGCTTGTTTGGCTTAAACGAGTTCAAACGAGTTCTCTCGAAATCGTATTTTGACATCCATTAATGCAACCATTCACGCAAGGAAACGCTGGTTTCCTTTTTCTAGGAATTATGAAGTGAAAAGCTATTTTGTATACTCTTGTATGTTGTGATCTGCGGACATGTTATTGTTTTGCGTTTCCATTATGTTTTATTTGATGTATTTGTGAAGAATTACTCGAAATTCAACCAAATTGATTTGAAACATTGAACCATTGGTACATGTATATTTTGGTAGAGTAAACAAAACACGTATTGCATATTCAACATGCCTTGGCCTTCTGTTTTGATGATACTATCCGTAACGGAAAAAAGTTTATCCGATATTAATTTCATATCTTATCAGATTGTGATAACAGTTTCTTCGGACCTTTTTGTGCTGCCTGTTCCCCGAACTGTGCCGATCCTGTTTGCGACAAAACATCCGGAAATTGTGATCGTAAGTTCTTCTATTAACAAAAGGAGCAGGGAATGTTGATGCAAGTACTATTATATCCAACTCATTTGCTCTAAGTAGCTTTAACTACTTTGTTCAGTAATTATAATTATTAGTGTTGGTACCCATTGATATTTCTTTTTTTAAATGTTTTCAATACATAATTCAAGTGGTTATATCAACCTATACAATGCTTTTAAATGATTCCGATCAACATTAACGATGACAAAAGATAATTTACTGCTTAACAGTAGAATTAAGGACATTTAGATATCAGTAAACAATATTCCATATTGTTTTTGTTGACTGAACCAAAAAATCGGGCAATTTTAGGATATGAAGCAGGTCTTTACAGCAATAAAGACACATATAGGTATGTTTTGGGGTATATATTTCTTTACTTTAACGGAGAGGTAATTGTGTCACTCGTTTTGACTTATTGTTTTGCCAGCACCTCCAGGTAAAGTTTTGATACAAATATTTGAAATTAACCGTAAAGTTAACGATCAATAGTCTTACGGAAATGTGGTTCCTGAGGAATCAAACATCTTGAAAAAGGCGATCTATGCATTCTGCGACAGTTTTTTTTTCTATTCATGTTCTTTTATCATTTATTTCCGAGCAAAATTAAAGTCGCCAAGGTTTAGGTCCCTTCGTATTTATTGTGTCATTGCATAGGAAGATATTCGTTAATGATTAAGTTCACTGCGATATGCATATATGTTTGTACTTCCATGTCATACATACTATTATTCAATACAAAATAACGCGTGATACATGGTCACGTGTCGTAGATACTGGATATCGCTTACACATGATTTCTTTTAGTAGTGGTAAGAAAGGAAACACTTCAGAACTTATCCTTTAGGTGTAAAAAACATATTTGATAGACTATTAATAGCCTATAGAATTGTTCATGTATTGTTGTAGAATATTTAAATGACACCTGCGGAATACAATGCACAATGCACAATTCGGAATTGTTCACTCGGGTGGGGGAGGGGAGGGGGGAAGAGGGGGTGTTCTCTGGTATCATTTCAAATGAAAAAAACTAACATGTGATTAGTATAAGTAGGAAAACGTGATTTATAATTGTTGTAATATAAATTTAGTGCATTCGTTTGTCATTGTTTTATATTTATATCATATATTATGAGATTAGAAAATTCTTTTCCGATTTCAAGGTAATCAGGTATCGGGGTATCCACCTTTCCTGGTTGTCTTAAAAAGACAAAATTAGTAATTATTTAATTCTTTAAAAGAAAGATAAAATTTGATCAAAATGATTTCCAAACAATTGATTATCAATTACAGAATGTGTTGTTGGATTCCATGGCAATATGTGTAATCAGACCTGTCCAGCCAACTGTAAAAACAATACATGTTCCCAGGACAACGGTTTCTGTACTACAGGTATATCATAATATTGATCGTTAAATGTTTAAATACTGAACAAGTCTAAGACTTTCATATAATTTACGTACATGTATACTTATTCCCATTCACATTACGGGTGATATACTATTAATCAATCTGCTTGCTCCTTATGTTCTTAATTTTTCAGCTTGCCTAACTTATCAGCTAAATTGATAATATCGGTTTTTTTTAATCTTAACAACTTTGAACTTGTGTTTAAATCAAGGTTAAACAATACGTCAAACTCAAATCTTACCTTCGCACTTATATAATAATGGCAGCAGATGTATCAATAAGCAATCCCAGTAACGTACACTTTCTACAACTCTTCTGTTTGTTTGGTTTGGGGGTATTTTTTAAGAACCAAAATACAATAATACATGTACTTATATCATGACTAAAGAGTGTAATCGTCTATCGCATATGCATAAATCTTTACATGTACATAACCATTCAGCATAGAGCTTTGTGAAAAATTTTGTACTTGTTTAGTTTATTTTTCCTTACACATAATTGATGCTTTCAGGATGTGATTCAGGATACCATGGCAACATGTGTCAACATACGTGTCCAACAAATTGCAAAGACAGAATGTGCATGCAGGATACTGGTATCTGTGAAGGTGAATACAGTTTTCATAAACGTATAATTGTATTTCATAAGCGCCAAATCTAGAAAAGTGGGTGGTCGATAAACAAGGCAGGGTTGTGTCACAGCCTACCTTTATGATCAATATAAACACAACCTTTGTAAGTTATCCTTCATCACTGTCAGAGATGATCAGGTTCCCCTTGACTTTCGGCCATCATTTAACATGACTTGAACCTTGAAGACGCTGACCCGGTGTTTCATTTGACATTAGGCTCCTCCGATCACACAGTTAGAATTGCTGACCTACAAAGTCTGGTTTGGCTCGGGTGGTGCAGTGAATAGTGCACTTGCCTTTCACTAAGGCGGCCGGGGTCACCTGCCCGATCACATGGGTTTTCTCCGGGTATTCCGGTTTCCTCCACATTAAGACCCCCGCGCGCTAACATCAAGGCCAACACGAGTGATTTGTATAACTTGAAATAACTTGTTTCATAATTATTGTAATATAAATAAACAATTCATATATATATATAGAGAGAGAGAATAAAAACATATTTTTTTCAGATCGTCCGCTAGGCCTTTCTGCCTTCTTCTTTTCTATATTTTCCTTCGCAAGGACTTATTTATTTATCATTTACTATATATATATATTTATATGATTTTATCGAGGACTTATTATAATTCAGCGAGCCAGACTTTGACCATATAGGTCATCTGTAATTTTTCTTATGGAAGTTTGTAATCAGTGTTTAATTCGTCAAATCAGGAAAAGTTACATTTTCACTAAAATATCGCTTTTTTTATAGAATACATATTTTTCAATATTTTACTTGTAAAAAAGTTATAATTATAGATATCATATATTATCTCTTATTTCAAACTAACCTTTTCATAATAATAAAAATATTTCATTGATGTGTTCCGCAATTTCAAACGAACAACATACTCAGACCAAGTTATGTATGATGTTTTTTTAGCTTGTGTCAATGGGTACCATGGCATCCAGTGTGACCAATCGTGTTCTAATAACTGTCAAGACAAAATTTGTGACCAATATAGTAGTGCGTGTACAGGTAAGATATCAATGTAATGATTTGTTATATCAACTTAAAGATTTAACTTTATATGGAGATATTACATTAGTGTAAGGAATATGTAGAGGTGCCTTGATATATTTAGGTTATATTTCAATATCACAGTTTTGATTTCATTGGTACTTATCTAATTTCTCGCATGATGGCTTCGCTGGACACCTGTTATCCGATAACTTTATAATGTGTTCAGGGATAACGGAAGCTTACCCCTGGTACTAATTGTTCCCTCGTGAATACATAAGCCTGATCTTAAAACATTCTTGTGTTACCTAACCTCCTCATGATGTGACACAGTCTGCATCCAGGTTTTAAATGATATGCCATGTAAGATAAGTATCATAATTATATATAAGGTTTATTTACTGTACAACAATTACGAAACCAGTTGTTTTAACTTTTTCTCTCTTTTTGCCCGGATGTTAGCGCTCGGTGGCTCTTAATGAATAAAGTTAAGTATTTGCCCTAGAGTGGATACAAATTTGGCGTTTAAGTAAAGATATAAAGTCCTTGTTTGTTTATCATTTTCATGATATACTCTATCAATACATCATGTTTACTTTTAAATAGGCTGTGAAGACCGTTTCTTCGGTCCTCTTTGTGTCGCCTGCTCCCCGAACTGTGTCGATCCGGTCTGCGACAAATTGTCCGGAAAATGTAGTCGTAAGTAATCTAACATTAAAAAGGGGATATACTTTTTTGTTCCATTTACTATCAAATATCGATTTTCCATTTTTTTGCTAGCGTTAATTACTTCTAGACTGTTCCGATAATAAGTTTAATTAGTATACAAGATGATAGAGAGAAAGTGATACGACACTGTAAAGTAGGAGCTAGGACAACACCCATTTTCTACATGAGTGTTCCACAAGGAATATCCCTATTTCGTAAATAACTATGTGGAAGAAATTATAACCGTGCAGATATATTTTCACTAGCGCAACTTATAAATGCTTCTTTGAACGACTCTGAGATGTCCAGTTTTCTCATTGCATAAACGCTGACTATGAAAACGTATTTGGAAAAAGCAGTCGTACATGTATGTTTTGATACCTATAGCTTTTGTTCTGTATTCTTGCAATCAATTGTGATCATATAATTGACCGCAGAGTTTTGTAAAAAGAAGGTTATATTCTTCTTGCTTCCCTTGATGCTATAAGTAAGTGTAAATACGAAATAAAATAAAAATAAAGAGAGATAAATCAATCAATTGATGTGTTAAAATAAAACATACCGAGAAATATATACCACAATACTTTAGCTTACACTCTACCAGAAATGTACCAGTAATGCTACATTTTGGAGAGAAAAAAATCAGAAAAGGTCAAAACACAGGTCTTAACAAATCCTGTTCACGTATTCGAATCTTTGAGTTGAATCGTGATATATGTTTTCACACTCAATATCAATTAATGGTACCACACTTGCTCACATAAACTTGAAACGAAAGCACTACATTGAAATTTAGTTATGATTAAGATAATTCCAAAGGTAATTTGTATTAACATTTATACATCCTGTTTGGCAACAAAGTCAACGCAGGGAATCTACTATTTATTTTGTAAAATTTTGTATGGAGTAATTGCAAAATTGTGTAAGCCGGACAGAACAAGAAATAAACAATAAAGAATTGACGCTTACCAGATATTCGCTGTATATTTACCGTTTTATGTATTGGGTGGGTTTCATTATATGCTCGATATGATGAACTTCATTATATACTTGATATGATGAACAATGACTTAAGTGAGAACACAACATAACTTGTGAAACAAGTTAAAATAACTATGCCTGTACCAGGCATTGATAACGATATCAATACATTGTCTGTTCAGATTATCCAATGCAGTATCACTTGTGTCCGATAACGATATCAATACATTGTCTGTTCAGATTATCCAATCCTTACATGTACCAGGTAATGTTTTTATATGTTCATCATGATTCCTTATAATTTTTGGAAAGTCCTTTGCATTTTTTGAATATCATGCGGAATATAATTTATGATCTTCATATGTTAACGAATTCCATAATTGACCTGATAACTGACATACACCATGAACCTTTGTTAGAAAGGAGGCATTTACATATAAAGTTGACTAATAAAAGCTTAACAAAGATAGTCGTGCGGCAAACAATTACATGTACATACATACATACATACAGTTACACACATATGCATACATTATGATTATTGCTGAAGTATTTGTTGGTATAAAATTGTTTATAATTCGCAATGGCTCCTTTTTTTAATAAAATAGAATTGATAAATTAGCATATGCGTGAAACAAATGCACCTTGCAAAAGTAACAGTATATGTACCATTTTAGTCTTATGATGTCAACATTGTACATGGGTGCATAATGTACAGCTTCATGTATAAGTGTGTGTTGCAAATGCTCGTAACATTATATACTTACAAAACTGATGAAACCAGGGAACATTGGATCTGCAAAAGCTCGATTAAATCAATTGAAATATTATCACAAATATTAAGATAGAAATGCTTGAATGGTGTTAATAATACAAAAAATCTGTGTTCAATAGATTTAATGAAGAACATAATGTATTGACCAATGTAAAGGCAAAACTTGTTAAGAAACATTTCTGAATAACAAAATGAAAATAAGATAATGCATATATCACATATCTTGTAGTTGTCAGTTTACCATGTAAAGAAGATGACTTCAATGCGGCAGCAGTTGGTATAGGTAGCGGCTGTGGAGTGGTTATCGTTGTCATGGCCCTCGTGATAATTGTACAGGCAAGAAGACATCGTTCAATGATCCATCAGAACACCACGAGGTCTACCACTATGACAGATATATCTTTACCTCGTATTGGACAGGAACGACGGACAGAAACAGGTTTTCATGAATATCTCTATTTAGTCTAAAAACAAACAAAAAAACACACATAGCCTCACCTAGAGTAGATTTCAGGATTAAAAATTCACTCACACTTATTTAATACCATTTTTCAATACATACAAAAGTATATCATAACATGAACTGACTATAGCTGAACATATGAAATAATTTAAGAGTTTTCATCTTTGTATCTGATAGTCGATGTTTAGGCCAACATTCATATCTAATGCAGTTTCGTGTACTTGCTTTTTGTCATTTTTCAGACGGTACCTATGCCGTTATAGGCGCCCAGGAAACAGAAGAAAGCATCACGAAGATGTCTGCACGTGACAGCAGTTATGAGCAACTTGGATATAGGGAGAGAGATGTTCCACATTTATACGAGACAACATAACGTGGAAAATCTGAACAGACAATGTATTCATATCGTAATAGGACACAAGTGATACTGTATTGGATAATCTGAGCAGACAATGTATTGATATCGTAATAGGACACAAGTGATACTGTATTGGATCATCTGAACATACCATGTATTGATATCGCTATCGGACACAAGTGATTCTGTATTGGATAATCTGAGCAGACAATGTATTGATATCGTTACGGACACAAGTGATACTGTATTGGATAATCTGAACAGACAATGTATTGATATCGTTATCGGACACAAGTGATACTGTATTGGATAATCTGAACAGACAATGCATTGATATCGTTATCGGACACAAGTGATACTGCATTGGATAATCTGAACAGACAATGTATTGATATCGTTATCGGACACAAGTGATACTGTTTCATATGGGGTTGCAATTAACCCTCATCGTACTACCTGTCAATATTGCAGCGTGATTTTTTCTCTGCAGATTAAAACATAAGATATATAAATAAAATGTTTCTTTTGTGCGTGTGTTATGATTGAATGTATAACGTGTATGAGTATGGATATGATGGTTACATTATTAAAAAAGCCGGATCCCGAGCCCGATTTTTATATTCCACATTAATAAGAGAATACTTTGAATATATCTTTTGTACAAATGAAAGCGTAATTCAGTTTTTTTCTCTTTTACTTTTGTGACTTTGTGTCAGCATGAACATTATTGAAATAAGACTGCTTTTCTGTATTAGCAAACGTTTATGACGTTACATCTCATTTTGTTTCACCGACAAGCTGATGTTATATCTTAGTTTCTTGACTTTCAGCAAGTTGGCACGCTGTGCCTATTTCATGTTGATGTACACGCACATACAAATACTCTATATATATATAGCAGCTACTACGTGCAAGACGATTCACAAATTGGTCACTTATTTAAATCTGTAATACTGGAGTGTTTTTTGGAGAAGTACAGATGGTTTGTTGAAAACATATTACATGCACTCGCACACATTATTGATCAATATGACATATGTTCTGGTTCCCCTTTATCTCCATTGTCAATCCCTGGACCCAGGTTCGTTGATATAAATCACATCGACCCACTTTTGTATTCCACGTGACCATATGTGTTTCTAAATTTCCATCATGATATTTCGTTCCGAAAACCGATCCATTATTTGGCAATCTAATTTCTCATGTTATGTAATATAAAAATTAAAACGAGTGTCTCCATCAATACGTGGTATATTGACTTGCTGGAGTAATATCGACTTTGAACTGCGTCCGCGGTCGATATTACTCTATCAGTTTTATATAAGAACGTATAAATATTACCAAAAGTTGATATTTGATCAATATAACTATTATACTATATTAACCAATGTATAATAATGTTACATCGCTGACGTGGTAAAATATACAATGCTATAACACATATTAGATTTCCTGGTCTCTTCGGTTTATTGAAGAAAGGATTATTTCCCTTCTGGTGCCAATTTTTGTTTCTGATGCACATTTCGGGCTGTATTGATTAAAAGTGATATTTTAAAGATCGTCAAAAGCACTTGTTTGTTATTAATGTAGATAAGATAGTTTTTGCGTCAAGTATACCTTACAGGTGTCTGAGTGTGCATCTGTAAGAGATTGGAAGGAATATTTTTTTATGTTAAATTGCACAGAAAATAGCATGTACAAAAGCATTGTACCTGTAATGTACCGTAATGTAATTCTTTTAATAAAATGTAGCATATAACATAAATAGAATAAAGAGAAATTATGTTTAGCTTTGAAACTTATTTCATGAATCTAATGTGTGTTACAATAAATGCATTTTAATTGACTTGACAGGGGATTGTGATTTGACTTAAATTTATAGCTGTCTACATCATATCTAATCAATAATTATAGATTGAGAGAGTAAAGAACGGAAAAGCACAATACAAAGTGATAAATTTGAAACCTTCTTCACATCATATCGACAAAATATGTTATTACTAGGTACCCAAAAATAAAGCTGTATTGAGTACACCCTAGCAGTCGACTTGCTAACTAAAAGAAAAAATGTTGACAAAAACATCATTTAAACAAAGGGTTTACAAAAGTTAGTGCGCCAACTGAAAATGTATACAAAAAATACGCAGAACCTAATATCCATATAAAACTTGATATCAAATGCGCTTGATGGAGATTGTTGGAGTCAGTATTATTTTCTCTTCTGACTACTTACAGAGTAGTTCAAAGGTTGGGGCGAAACCGATTATTTTCATATTTTGATACTGTTTTCCCTTACAAAAGATTCCTTTACACATCCATAATGTCTTATTTAATGGCACAAGTTCAATAACTTCCTGTCATTGTGCTGAATTGTGACAATATATGCAGTTATGTAGAAAAAGGTGAAGTAGCTCCTGATTCAAACTCAACTAATCCGGATTTCAAACTAATTTTTTTAAATATGGAAAATTAAAGTGAAAAAATAAATAAAATAAAAAAAAAACACTTTCAATAAAACAATTAGTGTGTGTGATCTGAAGGCAAACTTCCTGGTTAATGTACCACATTTTAAAACCAATTTTTGATTTTTTTACACGTGCTTTTAACTAGAAATAGGATGGTGATGTTGCCTTATCATATATCACTCATTATATACACTTCCTGGTGTATAGGTTAAGATTTGTGTGTATCTAAACAGGATATCAGCTTTCAAACTGGGACAGACCGACGTATTCAGTCACATGTTGCTACGTTAAGTGCACACAGTAACAATACTCTCACCGACACATGTGGCCCTACACATATGGCTGTTTTTATAGCCGACTTCAGATATTTGATGTCTTTCAAAGATCAGTTGACTGTACGAAAATATAAAATAAAGGCTGTTTATGTAGACCTATTACAGTACAAAGGTATACTAAGAAATAATCAAAGTCAGACAAAGAAAAATCGATGAAGGACAAGATCGAATTACGCAACCTTTGTTTTGTTTTGCATATTGAGCTTATTCGGAAAAATATTCTGTTTAATGTTACATAGTGCGTGACTGTTACACAATAGCGTTTAGAGAATCATTAGTACTAACTGCTAAATCACAACTTATCAGTAACGACTCTGAATCTAAAATGGATGAATGATGTACTCGATATTACAAAGCTCTTTATCATTACTATTATTTTTGTTGATTTCTGTAAGCTTAAACTGTACCATAGGATCACTTTTATAAAATAGTTGGCAGGCAGATTATGAATACATTCTAGTTTGCTATACGGTGATAAATATACCTGATCAGTAATCCTTGCCTATACATATGCAAAGGTAAAAAGTGGGTTTATGATCGGGTGCTTTATTGTCGGGTGGCAAAGAGGATAACGCCCTCGACAAAAGAAACAAAAATGCAGGGGAAACAACAATCAATCACCAGCTTCTTAAAGCTAGTCACCACTTTGAACAGGCATGTACACGTATCTTACATTAGTGAATGACGCTGTTTAACTTCTCAAAAACAAGTTATGTAAGAAATTAGTATCACCTTGATTGATCCCTGACAGCGTCGATTTGCCCTGTGCCTTTCAAACATGAAAATGACACAAGTCTATTATATTTGTGTTAATATTGATAAACACCAGTCATTTTGCATATTCACTGAACGGTCTTAACATTTCCAATTGTTCTCATTTCTCAGGATTTCACTGCATCTCTGTTATATTATCATTGCACGTCTTTTATAATATGACTGTACAAACAGGGGACAGTAGGCGTGATGAAAATTTAACATGTATCGATAAAACATATCTACAGAAGCAATACCAACATACAACATAATGTGCTATAATTTAGATGATGATGCATGTATGTCAAATGAATTTGAAACACATTTACTTCACCAATATGCACAGACACTAGTCTGACACAAGTACATTATCATGCCCTGCCTTCAGTCTTCCTTTTTATATACGTCATTGACAATGTCTCTCAGCAAAATATCCCAATAATATATTCGAACAATTACTTCATGGACGCTGGTTTCACTACTCTAAATATTATAATTTACTACGAATATATTTCATTGTTTTGTGCATCTTGGTGGAGACTTTTCTAGAGCTACATATATACCAGTGGGACTCAAGATTTTGTGATCACTATACATACTTAAGTTACCAATATGATAATATATTCAAAGTCACTATCTGTGCTTAAATTACAAGTACCCGGTATTTAAATAAAGCTCCATTATTTATAACGAGACATTTGAGTAAATATACCCTTTTAGTTCGCGGAATGTGTGTGGGCTGTGCAGGAAGTAAAACACAGTAATGTAAACACAGTAAAGGCGTACAACTGAGTTTATTAAATGTATTACACAGAGGCTATCCTCAGCAAATAGGCCCTTATGTGCACGAATGATAATAGCTCGATTCAGTTATAAGTAGCATACAAACCTGTGAACGTGTAACGGATTAAAGTACTTTTAAAAAAGCTTAGAAATATCGGTCTGTATACAGTTGGCGAGTAACGACAGTTTTAAGACAACCCCAGTAAAGTCAAGCAATATTTATATCAGATATATGTTAACCTTAATTGCCAAACACAATTTGCTCATTGTGTATTCGTTCTTGACAAAAACAGACGACAAACTTCACATGATTTCCCTTTTTCAGTAATATTGTCATGTTATGGCCGTTGCTCCCTTCTATCATATTATATGGGCATATCGAGTTGCATCACCCTGGGAATGTAGTTTTTTACTAACCGTTTGGTAAAGAAGTACAGAGTTGTTTTTAACTTCCTGGTCAGTATAGGTGTGGTAGAAATGCACTACATCATACCTCCGGCTTATTAAAGGTACACATTGTGTAGGATGGAGGTGTGTACTGTGTGGCTGGTGATTCTCTACCTCATATCATCGGTTCACATTGTCAACACATCAGGTATGATTGAATACATATTTTATGCTGATCGTGAATTATCTTGAACGTTTAGCTTGTATTATTTTTAATACCAAATGATTTTAATAGATTACAAAGGCAGTTATGAACATAGATGAGGTTCAGATGAATAGTATTTGATATGTGCATGTTTAAAATCACGTTTTGACTGACTTAATATATGCATCGCTATAGCGACCCCTTTGAGTATGCAAGTGTTCCTATTTTATATACATTCGCTGTCGATTGAGCATGTGTGAACGCTGTCACTGAATAAACTGGTGACTATCACAGTGGTTCACATTAAGGTACGCATTGTAAGATTGTCGCAATACCGCTTAGCTTCCTCATCACTTCTTATATATCTTCGTATTTAGATAGCGGGGCAATCTTATTTAGTAAGATGTAAAATATTCCTGTTGGCGTTAACGTTATCGTTGTAACGGAGCCGCCTAGTCACTTCATTCAATATTGTCTCCGTCTAGTTCTAGACTAGACCGTTTGCTGGTAGCGCAAAACAACGATCTTAAACAAGACTCGCAAAAGCCAGCTGGTAACGCTCGACTTGAACCGTAGTACTGGTAGCGTACTTTGTAGAACTAACATGAAGTATTAAGTAAACTCAAGTTTTGTGTACCACATAGACTGATTTTATTAAATGACACATATATAGTATGTTATTCTGAATATCCTTCACACAAATCTTTACATAGTAGTCATACAACAAACACACTAACCTTATCTCAGGTCTTGACACTGAAGTCTCCGGTACTGTAATTCCGGTAAGGAATCCACGTATGAGTAGAATATAATATATATATAAAGCTTTCCTAATGAAAGTGACAAAGTTATGAGACTGAATAAGTTATGTTAATTTAGGTTTCAAAGGCCGAAAGAAGTATAAGTGATGTCCGAATAATGAAGTCTAAGTGTATACGTAAAAGTCAATAAATCTCTATGTCTAAAAGTCTGTAAGTCTCACGAAAATACAAACGCTCGCTCTTTTATACTCACTCTCAAGCACAACAACAAATCAAAACATCGTATGTCGGTCCTAGAATAAACAACCAATCGAATAACTGTAAATAAACATCGCGTTTATTTACCGAACTCGAACATTCATAAACTCCCGCTATTCGGTGATCGCAACTCTAAGACCGGAAATACGTAACAACTGTCACTCTCCGTACATGCGCACTCTCACAACAATGGCAGCCTCCATCACACTACAGAACACGCACCAAGACTCGTCGATAAGACGGTAACTACAGTTATAATACATTCAATTATCAAGGTTTATATGAAAGGTTCAATTAATACATCAACAATACAACTATATATATCATCCAAGCGACACAGCGCCCTTACTTTGTTCTAAAATAACACTTTACCATTACCACTCAACATTCCTCGTGGTATAACCTAAACACTCGTAAATCTGACATATCATATTTAACTCAAAGTCTCTCTCTCTCTGCCATTGTCGACGACTCACACTATCAATAATAAATGTAATCATACAAAATATACAAGAATGATCTGTTGTTATTTCATTGAATAAGCAAGGTGCCATAGTGGTACATAAATATGTATAACATGAAACATGAGGGTCAACTTCGTTACATCGTGGTAGTGTTAAGAAATAGCTGTTTCTTGGTTGATGCAGTAAAAATATCAAAAGATGGGTGAAGATATAAACCTGAAATGACACAAAATATAACATTCATTCATTGAAAAACGAAACATTAATTCATCGTTTGCTTTTATATTATAATTAATTACAATATCTTTTCAATTCTGAAAATGGAAATGGTAATCGTTCTGAACACTCG